GGTAATGTGGTATGTAGGCCATTTTATTTTTTCCATTTGGTTACCTAAACTATACATGTATTTCTCTATGAATGGTAACACTTTTATTTAACAGAAAATACCGGAATTTCATCTGAGAGCTGAAAACCGCAAGCTACTGTTGGTGTAAACGTCTGCAAATCGATATCTTTGTACTTACATTATACAAGGAAATATCTAATTTCTCTATTGCAAAAGACATACATCTTATAGCACATTCACAGAAATCTTTATTTGTTACATTGTAGATAATGGGTGGTCGGTTAATAATAATAATAATAGTACATCGCACAAAGTACAAAAAGATAGTAGTTGGAGAATGACAATACAGAAGGAAACAAGTTGTGTTTGTGAAAAGTGATGCCCCCGTATGGCAGCTTAAGGCGAAGGTTAAAGTTTCTCAAATGCAAGTCAAACTCCAAGGTCAAGAGATCACAAATATTGTTTCCTAAAGAAAGGACTTATGTCAATGGACATACCTGGTAAATATGAAAGCCCGAGCAACAACCATTCAAACGTTATCTTCAAGGTTAATGTTTTCTAAAAGTGGGTCAAACTCCAAGGTTAACGTCAAAGGGTCAAAATTAATAGTACGCAGAAGACCTTTTCATAAGAAATGCACATACAAAATATAAAAGTTCTAGCACCAACTGTTCAAAAGTTATAGCAAAGGTTAAAGTTTTTCAAAAGTAGGTCAAACTCCAAGGTCATAAGGTCAAAAGTTTTGGTATTCATAGGAAGGTCTTGTCACAAGGAATATACCTGTGAAATTTGAAAGCCCTAGTGCTAACTGTTCAAAAGTTATGGACAAGGTTAAAGTTTTTTTTAAAGTGGGTCAAACTCTAAGTCAAGGTCAAAGGGTAAAAAATATTTAAACCCATGGAGAGGTCTTGTCACGATAAATACACATATGAAATATGAAAGCCCTAGCACCAACTGTTCGAAAGTTATGGCCAAGGTTAAAGTTGGGTAAATTTTTGCAAAAGTGGGTCAAGCTCCATGGTATAGGTCAAGAGGTCAAATTTGTTGGTACCCAAAGGAAGGTCTTGTCACAAAAAAAAAAAAAAAAAAAAAAAAAAACATGTGAAATATGAAAGCCAACTCCAACCAATCAAAAGTTATAGGCAATGTTAAAGTTTTTGCAGCCAAACAGACAGATAGACAGACGAACGGACAGGGCAAAACTGTATACCCCCGAATCTTCGATTACGGGGGCATAAAAAGAAATAAATGTTACATGTTACAGATATTTCTTAACGCAAGGGCTTTATATATAAATTTTCCTAAATTACACAGTTCTTTTATATTATTGACACTCAACAATTATACCAATCTATACATAGAGGGTTTGCTCCAGTAATACTTTTTCAATAGCTTTGATCGTAATTCTACACATACAGGACACACTAGTATGAAATGATATTCATCTTCAATTTCATTAGTGCATGTTTTACAAAATCTTTCATCTCTTGGAATAGTTTTATGTCTGCCTGTTTCAACAGCCAAACTATGGGAGGACAACCTCATTTTGATCCTTTTTGACCTTGACCTAGAAGTTTTACCTACTTTTGAAAAAGCTTTAACCTTGGCCATAACTTTTGAACGGTTGGTGCTAGGGCTTTCATACTTCACATATGTAATCCTTGTGACAAGACATTCCTTTGGATACCAACAATTGTAATCCATTGACCTTCACTTTGGAGTTTGACCTACTTTTGAAAAACTTTAACCTTTTCCATATCTTTTCAATGGTTGCTGCTAGGGCTTTCATATTTCACAGGTATAATCCTCGATGCAAGACCTTACATACACTGTATTTGATTTGCATTTGAGAAAGTTTAACCTTCGCTATAAGTTCCCATAAGGGGGCATCACAAACACATCTTGTATAGATAGCATTTCGATTCACATCGCATATTGCTATGCAAATTTTGTATAAAAAAAACAAACAAACAAAAAAAAAAAAAACAAAACAAAACAAAAAAAAAAACAACAAAACATCACTAAGTTTCTGTCTTATAATTGGCAAACATATGCGACTGCTTATATTATTTTGTTCATTCCATATATAACCAAGTCTGAAACAGTATTTGTTCCTTTACAAATGAAGCCCAGTTACGATGATTTTGTTTAGAATTTTCACAAGTTCGATACAAGTATTCATATGCAGCACTTAAAATACTATTTTTAGACTGCATTATCTAAATAAAAATTTGAACATTCAAAAAATATGTAGGAGCAAATTATTTTTAACATGATTTTTAAATTATGATTTTTCCATAGCAAAATGGGAAATTTCAGAGATGAATTGGCTATTGCGAACAATGTAATTTCAGTTGTATTGACACATTCCTGTTGTTTTCGCAAAGTGTTAATTTTTTTTTGTTTTACTCAACAGAACATTGAAGCAATGATAGTTTTTTTTATTGCGGAAGCCATTTTGGCAAAAGGAAAAAAGCAGTATAAATTTTTATCACATATGTATAAATTATTTAGAGTTGTTCTGTCTTCCCTGAAAATTTCATGATTCTATTTTGAGTCGTTCATAAGAAAATGCTTGGACAAAATGACAATTTTAAAAAAATGAAAATTGGACCAAAAAATGGGAGAGGAATTGATTTTTCAAAAATTAAAAGTAGTCTAGAGATATAACAATAATGCATCATTCCTGGAAAAAATCATTGAAATTGGTCGGCTAGTTTCCGAGAAAACGCGTGTACTATGAAAAGGGAAACATAATAATAATAGGACAGAAGGAAAACAGTTAAGGTCTTCCGAAGGAAGTCGAAAGACCTTAATAATAAGAAACAGAGTAAAAACAGTATGTTAGTGATGATATCCAGCTTACGCGTGACGTTAAAAACGGTCCGACATCTCATCGACCGGTTCAACATCGAATTTTTTAGACTGCTTAGTAAAACATTGGAAATGTTTGACTTCTTCTAGTGTAGAGTTATATAGAAAGCATTTTTAAAGGTATAGCAATAATTCATATCAGTCAGGCATAATAAATTTTCTTACCGTCTGAAATTAAAATTGAAGGATAAGGAACATCGTGGAATTTAAATCATGTTCAGAATAATTCTTTATATTTTAATGCATTTAATAAAAACATAAAAACAAATAAAAATTGGTCTTTGATTTAACTTTAATTAACAGCGTTATGGGCAGTGGGAAACTTTTTGGTTGTGCCAAGCCTTATCTAGATAATTTAGTGAAATAATTAAAAGTAGACTTGCTGATTATCTGTTAAATTCAGATTAATTTCAAAATTTGTGTAAATATCTTTTTGTTTTGGGAATGTAACTCGTTTCTATAATCCTTCAAACTTTGGTTGTAGGAAAAGACTAGAACAATATCACTATCAGTATTCCAGTAATTGAAGGGGTACTTTCTAGATTGAACAGAACAGAATGTCGTTCAACAGACTGATAAATACATGTATATTTGTTTTTCATTTTCATGAGTAACTAAGAAAACACATCTTTTATGCATTGCCTGATATCAAGTTTCTCATGACCTTCCAAAGGAAAACAAGGGAAAAAGGGGATGTGATTCACATGATATTCACAAATGTGACCTTTCGACTGATTATTTTTCTGTGAAAAGGAAAACCTATGAAAATCTTGCGAGCCTCTTTTTCCTGTGTACATATATATCTAATATATATTTTTAAAAGCAATATATATTCATATCCACTGAATATTATCTCCTTTATTTCTAATGAAAACAACGGTGGTTTATCAATACTTCAACCCCACTAAGCAAACCACCTGTATAGATTTCTTGAGCAGTGACTCTTCCATCAATGAAACATACAATGACGTATATATCAATAATATAATATTTAACGTACTTATTACTTAAACTTTGATTATTTATTTAAGAAATAATGTATCATTTTTAAACATCTATCGGGATATAAATACGGGTTGGTCACGAGATCAAATTCCATAAAGCCCGAAGGGCTTTATGATAAATTTGATGTCGTACCAACCCGTATTTATATCCGATAGATGTTTAAAAATAATACATTATTACTTATATTTACATTTATGACTTATTCATATTTTATATTTTCCTGATTATAATCTTTAACGCGTATTATGTTTTATTTTTCAAACTCAACGGCACGTATTTGATCCATTGTTTGCGCGTCGACCCTTTATGACGTCACTGAGAAATTACGTCGAACGTTTATGACGCGAGGAACCTGTGTTTATACGGATATATTTACATTTGCAAATGTTTTCCTTTATATAACACTATTAAAAGCAATGTGTATCTATATCCGTATAAACACGGGTTCCTCGCGTCATAAACGTTCGACGTAATTTCTCAGTGACGTCATAAAGGGTCGACGCGCAATCAGTAGATCAAACTTGTGCCGTTGAGTTTGAAAAAATAAAACATTTCACGCGTTAAAGGTTATAATCAGGCTTATAAATAATATGAATAAGTCACAAATGTAAATATAAGTAATAAGGTATCATTTTAAAACACCTATCGGATATATATACGGGTTGGTACGAGATCAAATTTACCATAAAGCCCTTCGGGCTTTATGGAATTTGATCTCGTGACCAACCCGTATTTATATCTCGATAGATGTTTAAAAATGATACCTTATTTCTTAAATAGATACGCGTTGCTTTCAATAGTGTTATATAAGGGAAAACATTTGCAAATGTAAATATATAGAGATATAAACAATAAAATGTCTTTCTTTCTTCGTTAGTATAACGTTGCATCTATTGCAGAAAAAAATTACATAACCCCCTTCCACAGGTTATATATTTTTTCTGACATTGGCAACATTTATTTTCTTACTAACAACCAAAGAAAGTCTTTCATTCATTACTAGTATATTAATCCTAATAAGTAAAAAATCTTAATATTTTAAAAAGTTAATGTATCTTTTACAGAGACAATTTCTCAGCGAAGTAAGAACAGTTAATACGGTTTCCAAGATCTCAGCAGGAATGTCAAATGAATCAGATCCAGAATTTGAATCATTCAGTGATGACGATTCATCGGGGGAAGTCAATAATGAAGAACTCGATTATGAGCAGAGAACGACCGACGACTTCTACAACAAATCACGCAATCACTACAGTAATGAATTCTTGGATGATAACGATATCAGCGAAACCCTGTTCAGTGCTGGGCTTGACTTGTCAGAAGGTTATGTAGAAGAACGTTACTGCAAAGAAATAAAAATGTACGACAAAATGCTGAATATTAGGGAGAGTCTCGAGCTTTGTGCAAAGTCTCCAGAGACCTACAAGCATTGTAAAATTGAAATTTTTAATGCTCACAGAGCAGTCTGTACAACAATGGACGGCGAAATGGAAATAGAAATATCAGGGAGATCAAAGTGTGCCAAAGCCTTCAATGAAGATGAAGTTGTAGTGAAAATTCTAAATAGCTTTGACAATCCAAACAAACAGTTTAGAAATAAAATCTATGGGAAGGTTATATGTATAACAAAAAGGAACGAATCAATTCCAAAACATCCTGTATTTGTTTGCACTATGAATGATCCTTTTATGATTCCCGTATGTAAAACAGTGCCGAAAATTTATCCGTTAAAGGAAAACTTCGAGAGAACACGAAAACCAGAGGTTTGCGTGTACAAATTCAACAAAGTAACAAAAGAGCTCATAATGGAAGAAACAAAAATCATAGATCAGTCAAGACGGAAAGAGTATGTCTTTCTTGTTTGTTTCATAAAGTGGAAAGGTGTTTTTCCCTTGGGTGCTATAATCAAAGTTCATGACCCAGATTATAGTTTGGAGACTTGTCTGAATCTGATTTGTCTGGAAAACAAAGTATCTGTCCTCTACAAACAGAAAACGATAGAGAAAATGAGTGAAATAGAACGAGAACCTGATATCGAGTTAGAGGAAAACAGGGAAGATTTGACAAATCTCCAGGTATTTACCATTGATAATAAAAGATCAAAAGACTTGGATGATGCATTGAGCATAAAGGAGATTGCAGATTCAAATTTCGAAGTTGGCGTCCATATTGCAGACGTTGGAAGCATAGTTAAAAAGAATGACGACATAGATTTAGAGGCACAGGAAAGATCAACCACATTTAATCCCGGGGAAGAGTATCGTGCATATCATATGTTCCCAGAACCGATTGCAACAGGTTTATGCAGTCTTCTTCCATTTCAAAAAAGGAAAACTTTGTCAGTTTTCTTCGTCATAGACAAGTCTGGAAACATTATAGAAGAGAAAACAGAAATAAAACGAACGTATATAAAGTCAAGGCGCTCCTTTACATATCAAGAAGTTCAGAAGTTATTATCAAATAATGAGAGTAGAGATGAGACTTTTCAGAGCAAACTAATTCTGTTGCATAATATTTCGAAGAAAATGCGTTGCAAACGCTTGGGAATACGAATGTTATCTTTTCCTTTTAAACAGTATTTCTCTGAATCCTATGATGAATACAATGAATCGTTAGATGCGCGTATTATGGTAGAAGAATACGTGATACATGCAAATAGTTTCGTGGCAAAATTACTACACGGAGCATTTCCAGATTGTGTTCCTCTTCGCACTCAAAGCGAGCCATCTTCTTGTAAAATGGAAACATGGATAAAAAATAATCCTGTATTTGCCAATTTTGTTCTTTCGTTACAACAACAAAACCTACCGAAAAATCAAGTGCTATCAATAGAAAGCGTTCACGAAGATAACATGTCAAATCAGATACCAGTGCAAAAGTACATTTGGAAAAAAATGAAGTTGGAATTTTCCTTTGGAAAGTTTAAAAATGTAGAAAGGCTAATTGGTACTGATGAGGTTCATCCACAACAAGCCATGGCATATGAATCATGGAAAGCTTTCCAAAAGACAGCCATTTACAACTGTTCCGGATTGTGTCGTCATGATGGTAACCATTTTTCTTTAAGGATTAATCCGTACGTTCATTTTACATCTCCCATACGCCGTTATGCAGATTTAGTTATCCATCGACTAGTACATGCACAGCTGGACAAAAAACCCTCGCCATACTCACAAGAGGAAATTGATATGTTGTGTAAGAAAATCAACGGTTGTCGAAATTTAGAATTCAAAAGACAATGCCAATTATTAAATTTAGGAAGACAGCTTCAAAAAAAAGCCTCGCTTATTTCATGCGTTGGTCATTTCAGCCACTGAAAAATCTCTCGTTGTATGCTTCCCAGAATTCAGATTGTTATCAATATCATGCAATGAAATTGAGTTTCGTTTACTGAAGGTAAATTCAAAACCATCATTTGCAGCAAATAATAAAACAGACCATCTTCTCACGTTATCCTGGTTACAACGATTATATTCTTGGAATATATATAATTTATATTTCTTCGACGTCTGTTTCAAATAGTTCTGTAAAGTTAAATCCACATCTCAAAGTAAATTTCATTTCCCTTGGGAGATGGAAGAGTTTTATAAACGCTATGATGAATGAAAGCCTTCAAATGTTGGAGAATGATTTTGATCATAAAGAGTTTCTGCCCACTGTAGCCGCGTGTCGTGGCACAAATTCTGTTGCTAGTTCTGAAAAACAGAATGGTATTATCTTTCAGCAGTGCACAGAATTTAGTTTATCTTTCAACCGTGGTCAAGTTATTCCTCTTCAACTTGGAGCTGAGCTGAAAGGTGGGAAAATGGTGCCAACTATTCATCTGTTGGAAATTTCAAGGAATGTGAAATGCTGTATTCAACACATGTCTGATCCAATTGAGTTCTTTGGAGCTTATGCTAATAGACATGCAGGCAACAGACGAATGAAACCAGGTGAATACATTCAAGTATGGTCGGAAATATTTCGAATGGAATCCATAACCAATGCAACAAAGTCTTTATCGGTAGTCATTAATCATTTACCTATCAGATTTTGCAGTTCTAACATTGGAGATGGCTTTTTCGTATTACAGAAAAAGTTTTGTCTACAGCGAGATTTGGATTTTCAATGGGAAGAAACAGACAAGGATGGTAAATTTGTTCCTTTTGAAAGGAACTTTCTATGCATTCGGTGCGAGATATTGAATGGCTGTCCGTCTGAAGATGGTTTTAATTTGTCGCCAAACAAGAGATGGATTTGGGTTGGTCATGGAGAAACAAAATTTATCCAAAAAAACAAAGACAATAGCGAGGTTAAAGTGCATTTCCAGTTGCATAAAAAAAGTAAAAAACCAGTATTTTCAATGATTGATGCCACGACTTGTATTTGTACAATTGAAATACTTCAGATGTCAATTTCAGAGAGGTAAGTTTAGAAGGATAGGTGAAAATGTGGATGGATGTTAAATTAGGTAAATTTGAATATTCAGAATTTGTTTTCTTTTATTTGACAGACGTATTGAAATAAATTTGAACAAACTTGATAATGCAACGAAGCTGGCGAGGTCAATAGCCTTGAGAGAAGTGATGCCTAAACTGGGTAATTATTAGAAATACCCACGAAGTTCTCTAAAATTGAACCCTTAAGAGATATATCAGTATTTAATCAGTAACTTTTGAGGACAAGTGGTAATACGGATAATAACGTGGTTTAACTGATACTAGAATGTAAAATTGCAAATAATTGATAATATGTGTACGGTATAACGGCAATACCAGGGATATTTATTTAAATATTTTGAGTTTTTTTTTTCCCTGTGAGTTCGACACAGTCACAGAAGTTGGACAACCGCAGAAAAACATAAATTTCATAATTTATATCCTTAATTTAGCAGATTTTTTTTCCAGATGATCGACACTTGAACTTAGGAAAACTTAAAGAACTGAATAGGTTCAAAGAAGATTTTCTGCGAAACAATGATGAACAGTCAACAGCGATTAAAGAAGCACTATCTTCACGATTTACATTGATACAAGGCCCTCCAGGTTAATGACACTGAAAGACACAAGTTTACGATACTAGTAACCAGATTTATTTTTTTTAAAAGAGGAGTGAAAAGGTTGAGTTTTAAGATAGAAATTTGTTTATAAATATCACAAATTCACAAAGAAATTACCTATAAATCCAGGAAAACAACGAAGTTTGCAAATAAAACTAATCCTATTTATTTACAGGTACGGGGAAAACTTCAACAGGAATAAAGCTCATATTGTTATTTGTAAAAATTAATTTGGAATATCGGAAAAGCGGTGGTGACCACAAACAAGTCGTATACTGCGGGCCATCCAACAAGTCTGTTGATTTAGTAGCGCGTATGTGTTTGATTTGTTTCTGACTTGTTAAACTTCATGTTTTTGCTTTCGAACTTCTTTTATTATATTTAATTTCAGGCATTTTTAATATATTCTTGTAAAGTCATTTACCATTTCTGTCAAAATTTAGGACAACTTCATCTGGAGCTGAGATCAAAAAACCTTTGTCCAAATATGGTGAGAATGTACGGGAGTTCCATAGAAAATACGGTCTATCCGATACCAGGCAGGGACTACATCAATCGGACGTCTTGTAGAGACAACCGACCCGACCCGGACTTAGCAGATGTTTCACTCCATAACTTGGTAAGAAAAGACGGTAAACCATTTGCATCAGAATTAAAGCAGCTAGATAAACTCTTTCAAAAAAATCCAGAAGAAGTTGATCCTGAAAAGATTATTGAGTATATGAAGATACTCAGCAAAGCTACTCAGGAAGAGCTCAAGCATTATGACGTCATTTTCTGCACAACTTCCGTTGCAACAAATCCGAAACTTCTTAAAGCTACAAAAGGAAAGGTCTTTCAATTGATTATTGACGAAGCAGGAATGTGCACTGAACCAGAAACAATCGCTCCAATTATTGCAACGGAAGCAGAACAAGTAGTTCATATTGGAGATCACAAACAACTTCAACCAATCATCATTTGTCCCGAGGCTGGTAGACTGGGGCTTTCCAAAACTTTATTTGAACGGTATTCTGACAATGCAGTGTTCTGAAAGTCCCAGTACCGTATGGTATGTTCGCAAGGTCCTAGAAAGTTGATTCTTATATCTAAACAAACCCAGTTTTATTACTCTTGTTCTATTGATTACCTTTCAGAGAATATCATTTTATTTCAGAATCCGAAAATTTGCGAATTCCCATCAAAACAATTTTACAAAGACAGGCTAAACACTGAAAGCTCAAAAAAATGGCACACTGAGAAACAACTTTCATTGTGGAAGAGGTCGGATATACCTCTGCTGTTTTGTCATGTACAGGGAGAAGAAAAATGTCTGGCAGTGGCCACGGAGGAAGGAAATCAGCAGTCACGTAGCAATATGGCGGAAGTGGAACATGTGGTAAAGTTCTTTTATCCAAGCAAACAATCTAGTTGTTTGCTTTTCTTATTGCCAGACAATAACCCTTGATTTACAAATGAAGTTATTTTAGAATAAACAAAGACACTTAATTAAATCTCTCTTTTCTTTTCTATTGTAGGTTAAAGTGTATACTTTTCTGGTAAAGCAAGAAAAGTTGGCAACACCAACAGTTAGAGTTCTGACGCAATACAATGCACAGCGCCATGCAATAAACGAAGCACTTCAGAAGAAAGGTTTCGACAATGCTGAAGTAAATACAGTGGTATCCAGTCAAGGTATGTACATTCGTATGATTCTGGTTCTTTTTTACATGAAAAAATGTAAAAGGGAGTGGACGATTTTCGTTTATGGATGTCTAGAGCAATGTATGAAAATTACTGTAAATTTGCACATAAGACAAGGTATCTGCCAACCCCAACCCCCCAACCACCCCCCCCCCCAAAAAAAAAGCATCAGGAAACTGCGTGTAAATTTACTTGCAATAGGACAAATAAATCTCGATTTTAAATCAAACTAGACGTATGAATACATAATACGATGGACACTATAGCCTTATTAAAATTATAGAGCATATTTCTCAATTTCGCCTTGAAAAACTTATTTTTAGGCTTTTGAGAAGAAAAAATTAAAAATTTGACGATTTAAGGCAATCCTACTAATTTTACTTCTGGTAGTTTTTTTTATCTTATTTTACTAGGTGTGATAAAACCGGATAATTTCTCACCATAATTATTTCTAGAGGGGAAAAAATACCGCCTGTCTTTTTAAGTAAAGTTAAATACTAGTCATATTTACTTATGAACAATGCTAACACATATACTAGTACATATGAAGTACCAATTTGTAAATGATGTTGACAAGGAAGAAAATCTTAACAGACTCTAAGGGCAGTGTTTTTGGCGGTTTCTACTTGTGATACAAAGCAAACCTGCAATATGTGCAATTTTGATTGCATGTAAATTGACATCTGACCTAGATTTTTCTTTTTTGCTTTAGAATTGTGTCCAAATGGGGGTATTAATAATCGAGTTAGAGCAGCTCCAGTTGTTAATTACCAGTATAGCGACCCAAAACTAAAAATCAGAAATGTGAAAAATACATGTATATATACTCTATCGGTTATAAGATAAAGGTGAAGATAAAAGACTATGGTTAATCTCATAAATCCTGTAAACAGTGCAAACCTGAAAATGGCAAAAATATAGACCTCTGCAGCCTGCAAGCACAGATGTTGGATCAGGTGTCTAAGTGGAGCAAGCATCCCCTGTCGACCGCCGTGATCTCTTCGTATTGTTCAGGGAAACTGACAATTGGAGTCAAAATATGACCCAAAGACGTGTATTTACAAATGTCATTATAGCGACCAAAGCATTTGCGAAGTGCAGACTTTAAACGAGATTGTAGAAAACCCTGTAACATCAATGTATTTGTTAGTAGCTTGCCTCGGCTAAAACTGATTTTACTCAGCACATGCACTTGTGTACCGAATCAGATGGAAGATATAAGCACCATATGCAGGTCATAGTGGAATTATTCTACATAAGTAGGGGAAGTTGACAATGAAAATGTGAAATCCTGTCCGTTGCATTGTTTATTTGTTAGTTTGTAAGTAACTTATATAGTCAGTATAACAGCCAGATATGAAACAGACGTTGTAGACTCTGTGGTTCTTTAATTTCAAGTTAACTTCGATATATCTAGTCGACTCATTAGTGAAAGTAACTATTGTTCATTGAGAAAAGGTCGTCGATATATCTAAATCTCGAATTGAAGTTTACAGCAAGAGAATTCCTCTTATGTATATATATTTTTAAAAATAAATTCTGTTTTATAAAAGATATACATATATAAAAGATGTCGACTTATAAAGGAACACAATTAAACCCCATTGAAATTCTAACAGATTGTTGGAAGACCTGGTTCGGGGGCCATAAAACTTAGATGAGGTCACTTTTGATCTCAGTCTCACTTTTACAAAAGGAATTTATAGTGGAAAAGTGAGACTGAGATCAAAAGTGAGTTCATCTAAGTTTTATGGCCCCGGAGCCTGAAGTCGATATTCAAAAGATTCTGGAGTTCCTCATTGACAATATCTATGTAGTCTTTTAGTACTCGTCTAGAATGAGAATGATGACATATCACAAGATACGAAAATTTCCAAGTTCCATTTTTAATTGAAGAAGTAATTGTCTATAATTCCAGAAATCATGGTCTTTAATTTATCATGAGGGGTGGTTGTTGTCATACGTCTTCATGTTTTGTTATAGGAGTAGTTACACGATAGTAATGTGTATGTTACATGTAAACAGTAACAATAATTAATTAATTAGTGTTGATTACAATTTAGAAACGAGAATATATAAAATTATTTATTTTGATAAGTGATTTGTGGTGATTTCACGGCATGTTTAAGTTTCAGCTTTTATAAACTTTGATTTATAGTTTCTTGACTGAAAATTAACTCAACAAATCGTTAATTAAAGCTAAAATAAAGCTATAGTGTATCAATAAGAACGTGTTCTACTTATTTTTGTGAGGACTTCGGCGTGCAGTACCTATGTTTATTTGTTTATTAATGTGGAAAATACTTAATTAGTCAAAAGTTGGAGTTTCTTTTTAAGGAAAATGAAAACTTAAGTTTTCTAGTTTTTAAATCCTCTACATCTTCATGGATATCTGACTTTATAATCCTCTACTTTTCGGATGAAACTGAATTGAAGCAATTTTCACGTGGCTTCCATAATGAAAAGGTTCCCAGATCTACATTTGCCTAAATGGTTTTGATCTGTAGGTGGAGAATGGGATTACGTGATATTTAGTACTGTGCGATCTCTCCCCGACTACAGAATAGAGGAACACCCAACATTGGGATGGTGCATGCAGAACCTGGGCTTTATTACTGACCAACATCAAATCAACGTGGCTCTTACTAGGGCAAGGAAAGGACTCATTATAATAGGTACGGTAGAAGATATTGATTTGATAAATTTAACAGCTGGAAAGAAAGTTCATGTACAGGTTATTGCCTAAGTAATCAAGACAATGATAAAAATATAATATACATGTATTTCAAAATGTGGATCGCGGAAACCTCCTACAAAGGGGGATAACTGTTCTGCAGGAAGCACGGTAGATAAACTGCATTTTAATATTAAAATGCATTGATTCATTCTCAGAAATAGCAAATATTCAGTATGTTTACGTAAAAGATAGTAAAGTTCAACTTCATCGGGGATAAATTGTTGTCATCCCGTTCAGCCAGCAAACCAGAATAGAATGTAGCTGTTCATTTCAGTTTTTTTTATCTGTTAGGATTCGAGTAAGAATGTTACAAACTGTAGGGGGAGGGGGGGGGGGGCAATAGTCAAAGACAATGTAGGTCCGCGCATGAATTTTTCTTTTAGAAAATGTTACCGATAACCCTTTTGGGCTGTAATTTCAGGCTATAGAATAGCTTCTTTAAGTACCCTTTAAACATATTACTGGGGAAGAAAGTGTTGTGGACTTTAATACGAGAAAATTATATCGGAAGAAGGAGAAACTATTGAGCTGATCTATTACATAGGGCCATTCTCCCTCAGGGAAAAAAGAATTGATGAACAAAAATCATTGCTTCTGACTTAAATAGGGAAAACATGCAAATAAAGTATTCAATTACTTCAATTATGTTTAATATGTTCAGAATACTTTGGAAAATTGATTACGGACTGTGAATTACTCTAGTATGTAAATTTCAGTTTATTCTAGCTCTAAACTTTGTATTGATCTACGGTACAAGTAGTTTTATGCAGTAAGAGTGATGTACCCTTTGATGTAATATTGAATAAATGGAAATCTACAGTAAATGATATAATTTAAAATAGATTAAGTATTCTGAACATTACAAATAATTGAAAACATTTTTCGCATGTATTCTCCCAATGCAAGTTAACAGTGATTTTGTGCACTTAAAAATTTACTGTCTTTGAAGACTTCCTGGAGAAAACATGGCATCATAGATCATTTTAGTGTGTACTTCTTTATATGATAAAATTTTCTCAACGTCCCCCCAAAAAATTATCAAACTGTACAATTGATAAAACAGTTAAAAGGCAAGAGTGAATTGTTTTTGCACGGCATTTTTATCTTTATCAATCGACACATATGATACGGCTATTGTCCCTGAGATATGCGTTTCGGTTGAATGAATGTGACATACTTTTTCCATCAATAAATGTGCAACTCAAGTTACATGTATAAGAAACAAATTTCTTAAGTTCTCGGGTTTTAAATATCAAATATTAGTTATAAAGATGTGAGAATAATAAGGAAGAGAAACATTGTTCCAACGGGATTTGAACCAGAAAAAAGCCTCTCTGGTCGAAGTTCCTGCAGTGACACTACAACCTGTAACCTTATATGATGTGGCATATGAAGAGTTATTCTGTGTGTGATAGATCCTTGATTACATCGAAATATTAGACCGAGAGATTTCCAGACTTTGATGCTTTGGACATTAAATTATTCAGTAATACATTAAATGGACATCCCAGTGTCATTTTTTTCCGTATTGTCATTTTTTCTGAAAGGCCTTAGACTATATTACTTTCTCGAAGGTATTTTTTTGCCATTTTATGTGTAGAATTTTGATTTTCTATTTTAGGAAATCAACAATTGCTAAAATGTGACGTTGTATGGAAAGAACTGCTAAAACATTACCATAGACAAGGCTGTATAGTGGATTCTGAGGGACTAGACGAGAGGCTTGGTGACAGCTGACATTTACGTGAAATGAAAGTCAAATCAACCCCTGTGTGAGAACTCTTATCCTTTACTTTTTAATTGTGATCCTCCATAAATCTATACTACATATTACTTCTAAAATAGTTTACACTTTTGTAACAGACTTTAATGTGTTGAGTGTTTCTTTTATATGCACAAGCCAGACACTACCATTTTAATTTGTAAATAAAAGTGTTTTATTAGTATATACCTGTACTTCTATACATTTCTTATTGAACATTACTTCTACATTTGTAACAAAGATATTGAGAATTTTCTTTAATTAAGTAATGAAAAGACTGGCTTTTTTTATCATACCCTTCAAAGTCAATCAAGTTTAGAGGCAAAGTGGATCCGCGCATGAGTTCAATCATCTGAAAGATGTCTTACATTCAGGCGCAGATAATGGAATTTTTACAGGGAGAAGTCCAACCCAGTCAAAAAAAATTTCCAATCCAGAAATTTCTAGACAAACCAAAAAAAAAAATACAACAACAAAAACAATAAAAAAAATAATAAAGTCCTTTCCCAAACATGAAAAAAAAAAACTATATGTGGTGGTGGGGAGTCCACATTTTCTAAAGGGGGGGGGGGGGGGGGGGCAAAGTCATTTTTTTTATTTGCTTCAGTATATACTTTTGGTAACTCTGCAAATTCCGGGGGGAGGGGTCTGAACCCCCCCTTCCCTCCTTAGATCTGCGAATGAACATTTAAGAGATTACACTTTGATAATTCCATCTTGAAATGCTTTTTATTTCAAACTGACATCTGTAACATTTCAGGACAGGATAGAGATTTTGACTTGAATTGTTTCATGATTACAGCCTGGTATACTGGAGTTTGTAAAGATTTCGTCATGTTGTATCGAATTCTAAAATCTTACCTTGTTTTACTCTCCGTTTGATTTTTTGAATATTTTTAGTTTATTTTGTTCCTGGCAATCTTGCTCTATGAAAATTTAAAGGCTTTTTTTTCCGTGAAGCAGTATGTGTTTACTAAATGACAGGTCTGAGTATATTTTAACATCTATTAAATACGAATCCGTGAAATATCAAATAAAAGTTTTACATTACTATTGTACAGAGAGATTTTATCATAATTTTAATAAGTTTCTTGTCTATTACATGTACAACATTTATTATATCAGTTGCTCAATTGTAATTAATGTAAATTGTGTGTTCTCGTGCACTTTCCTGTTCATATTTATGAGTTGAGTTTTGATTTTACCTGTGCCATTGAAGTCTTCGTTAGAATTGATAACTTAGTAATTAATTGGTCAATATTTGCTGATTTTACATTGAATCTTTAAAATGAATTAAATTTACTTGTGAAAAAAAAATCACTAAATGCCCATTGAATTTTTACAGGTATCCATTTTTTTTCTTCCACTTAAAAAGGTCCTATAGATCTTCTAAAATGTCCATTCACACCTTTTGCAATTCCACTAAAATGTCTTCTGCCCCTAGCAGATGTTCATGTTGTGATAATCAAAATAAACCTGAGTTGTAATATGATTTATAGGAATATCTTTAAATAATTAAGAATTCATGAAATTATTTCAAACATTTTGGACTTTTTTTTATGAGAGGGACATTTCTCTAAAAATAGCTGATCAAGACAAAGATTGACAACAGCTATTCTTCTATATTTCAAATTTTTATTCAGCCTCTACACTTATTACAATAAATAACACTGAATTCTGAATAGAGAAAGTTATTTCTTAAGGACGGATACAGTAAACATCACAGTCAAATGAACAATTGTCTCAACAATAACAAATATCAGATCTAAAACAGCACTACAAGTGGTTTGGTTTGGGAGTGGATCCAGTAGTTTACTGGAATGAATAGCTTGGATTGGGAGTGGAGCCACACCAGACTCCAATAAACTTCAAAATGTCATTCAACTCCGGACTGTGAGAAACCTGAAAAATACAGAAAACTTATTTAAAGCAACATACAATTTAATTTACATTGTCATAAAAATGTAACCATCTCTATCCCCATTTCAAAATAAAAGAAGAAATGTATTAAACTGGAGGAGTTCTTATGAGACCGACATCCCAGCTGGAGCAGAAGTAAAACATGATGCATCTCAAATAATGTAAAGATGAAAACTCATTCATGATCAAACTCATTAAGTTTGTAATGCAATTAATTAAAGTCGGTACATTTGAAACATACCCTGTGGTGAAGAAGAGTAAATTATTAATCAGATGTGGCATCCAATCAAAGATTTTAAAATTACACTGGGTGCGAGTTTGGTTTGCAATTCGTTTGTCATTATTATAACCCACCTAAACACTTTTCCTTAATCCTTAACAAAAGTAACTCGAGCAGAAATTTTATATCAGATATAACATCTAAATTTAAGACAAATTATATCTATACATATTATGTGTGCATGTCAAGTTTGTGTTATCTCCTATAACAAGCAAAGAGAGGCCAAAACGCTATACTTAGCAAGTCACTCAAGTACGGAATGAAGTTAACATGCATGCCTAAATAAAGCATCCATTGATTCACAATGCTTAAAGTTTGGCTTGAATACCATATGATATTAAAGGATTCTGTCAATGTAAAATGTAGCTTAGATACAGCATCTCATGTAGGGAAAAAGAGTAAACATCCACAAATGCACAATACTTGCGAGTTTACTTTGGATACCACTTGTAATGAGCCAGAAACATACTTAAATTCTGACTCTAGGAGGATACAGTCAAGTGTAGGTCAGATATAGCATCTCATGCAAGCTTAAGACTAAACATCCACCTATGCACAATAGATGTGTATTTTCAAGTTTTATTTAGATGTCACTTATGATAAGCTGAGAACAGACTATAAAGCTTAATCTAATGAAAGTTATTAAAGCTAAAAATGTACCGTAGGTCAGATGCAGCATCCAAAGCATTAATCACACTATGCTAATACAGTAAGTCTGTAAATTACACACAATACAATTTGTGAACCTTTGATGATCAATACATCTCATGTGATCTGCACATACCTGAATTATTACATTGCTCTAGAAGCCATCTTGGTAATAACATTGCTTAGGTTTATTATTTAATTCAGAACTGGACACAGGATAATACAATATGCAAATCATCTACAGATATACTGCTGGACAGATGACTCCTATATTCCCCCCACAACTTTGATTTGGTAGGGGTATAAAAATGAAGGAACTCAGAAGAACACCAGAAGATTAAAATACCTTTGCAGCCATTATAATTTTGTTCCAATCATCCTTGTTGGCTACCTTGCCTGGTCGTTTGAATTCCATTGGAGTTTTCAATACTGGATACCCTGCAAAAATGTATGAAAAATGTTGATGAAATTCAGTCTTTATCAATGACACAATTGTCTCTTTTGTCCTTAGCATTTAATGGATGAATAAGAAGCAAATCTTGGAGTGATCCTGTCCAATGATCCTAAAACCTGAGCAAATAAAGAAAAAAAGAAAATTTCCTGACAAAAATTCTCTTTTTAAAACATTTATACATGTATATGTGATTAGGTACTGAAATATTGAAATTGTAAAATTTTAACAATCTGAGAAAAATTAGCTCTAATAAATGAACATTGTAAATGATTCTACAATGCAAAGCACAAATTGATAAGGGAGACACATTTTAATTATGTAATTCTAAATATACCCGATGTCTTAATTCTACAATTGCTCATGCAGCCAGAGCATGCAGATAACTTTTTTCTTAACAATGGAATATCAGTGTGGATGTAGTGATTTCTTCTACAATGCAATTGAATTTTTTTTTAATGGTACATGTATTCCTATACACAACATTTATAAAAACTGTATGTATTCTCCTACATGTAATTTATGATAACACATGGTGGAGAGAAAATTTTGAGGGGTCGGGTGGATGTGTGGTTCTCACCTGTGACAACACATGGTGGGGAGCGAATTCCTGTGTCTGGAGCAATCAAGGATGCCTCGTAGCAGTTACGTTCATCTCTGGGTAAGACTTGTTCCACCTTCTGGTCCATGGAGACAGCTAACACCCACTCTTTTACCTCCTCATGTTGCTGGCTCTGAAAACATTTTACATGGTGCTTTAATACACTTGACAGAGCAACTCCACACTGTTTGAGTGGTTTATATGTATTCATGTCATTTTCTTTTTTATTTCTATAATCTATGGAGTGAGTGTGTAATTATTATTTCTACTCTCTCTCTCTCTCTCTCTCTCTCTCTATATATATATATATATATAATTTTTTTTCTATGCAGACAGAAATCATTTCTGACAGATGGTATGCTGAGTTAGATATCTAGAAAAAGAGATAAACTGCAGATTTTCTAAAAATTAACCATGACTTACAGTTAAATACGGCTTTTCTGGAAGTGGGATTTCAAATGGAATGTCAGTGTCCTGGAAGTCACTGTGATCTAACATGTCTAGAGAACCTTCCTCTATAGCCTAGAGAAATAAGAATATGAATTCAACTGAAACATTACTATTCATATTTCCCATTCCGTTATTTTGTACATGTACATGAATATATACATAGATGATTGCCAAATTCCTTTCAATAACTAGGCTTGAAAACTGCTTACCTCTGAAATGTCCAAGTATCTATTCAAGAAAACAAAGGCTGCATTCTCCCAACCCACACTCTACAAAAGCAAACATTCAAAAAAGATGAATACTGTATGCTTATCTGGAAGTGAATTTTTGCAAATACCCGGTAATTTATAATAAGCATTGTCAAAACTTCAAAGATATTTAAATGCAAAAGTACTTGCAGGAATTATTTGGAAGGCTGACATAACTTTTATTTTGTTTTATGTGCAGTATTTTGGGCAATCCTAAAAAATGATAACTTGTAATTAATACCCTGCACATCATTCCGGCCTCATAGAAAGCTTTGTCAGCTGGGATTATATCAGTGTGCCTCAGTAAACTGATTGCCAGCTTTGTTGCCAACTCTTCCAGAGATTTGTGTGGCTGGAATGCTGAACGGTTGGCATAGTAATGAGCAATCAGCAACAGGGATTCAAACTCGGCATGTTGTGGGGAATTAGCATCTGACCCCTTACTTATGTTATCACACTGCAGAAAAAAAGTCAAATTACAGAAAAATGAAGAGACAAAGATCAAAACATTTTCTCTTTTACTATTTTCTTTTTTAAACCAAAAAAAAAACATTTAATTCTTCGAAATAAAACTACTACGCATTTAAATAGATATTATTGAAGGAAAGAAAGAAATAAAACATTTGAGGAAAAGATCTGTATCAGCTATTGAAATTAGACAAATTCATTTTATGTAATCCATAAGATTTTAGTAAATTTGATAGAACTCTGGGTTCTTACCAAGTCATACAAAACATCTCTCAGTTCTCCCCAAGTGTGGTAGGCATCGGGTTTGTTTAATCCTCTCATGCTTACAAGGTCACTAAATATCCTCTTGTAAATGTTAAAATTCTATAACAGAAATGAAGAAAACCAACTGAATATTATTACAAGTCCATGTGATTATCTTCCACTAACATGCATAAAGGATTTTGGTCAAAATCTCAAGTTCAATCATCAGATTAGTTTATCTGTTTTGTTTTTTGTTTCATCTTTTTGACAAGTTTCCTTTCATATATTTATGGATTTCTTTTACTTAAAAATGTATGCTCTAAGCATAATACATCTATACATTTTTATTCAATTTATATTACCCTGAATGTTTCTTATGATGCTGATAATTGTCAAAGACATACCTGAGCATTAGCAGGTGCCCCATACTTGGCATAAACTTCCAGAGCTTTACGACTGTCATTATTTTTAATCAGATGTGTGGCATACAGTGCAGCATACTTATGCAGAACTTTTGTATTCTGAATAAAAAAAAAAATTAGACACTGCATGAGAATAGAAACTTTATGACATCCATATACAAAGCTTTTTCTCATAGACTTAAAAAAAAAAGATTACAGTGGAATTTTTTACTATTTCACAAATCTACCTGTTGTGCTGCAGTTTCCAGACATTTCTCCCATTCTCCTTTCTCAATATACATATCCAAAGCACCCACCACATCCACACTAGCAAGCTAGAATGAAGTTAAAATCAGCATTGAGGGCAACTTGTATAGATCCAAAGCTGCAGTTAATTTTATTTCATGTTGGAAAATTTAATACCAATAATATATAATATACATGTACCTGTTCAGCCTTTCCTTGGTTTTTGAGACTGTCTTTATAGCGTTCATCAACATAAGCTTCCAATCTGAAAAATGGCAGTTCAAAGAGTTAAACAAATACATTTATCTTGAGCAAACAAAAAACAAAAAAAAAAACTACTGAATATTTCAAAATTTCAGTATACTGATGTACATGTATGTTTCTTTCTCAAAAAAAAACTTTCCTGCATGCCGACATACCAATATTTAAAATAATCAATTTTGCATTGTTCTTTTATAGATTACATAACTGACCACAGAGACAAACCTTGGTTCCAACTCCTTGGCCACCCTCTTAGCTTTATTCCATTCTTCTGCAGCAATAAACATGTCAATGGCATCTTTAATCAAGTCCACATTCAGGTATAGCTCTGCAGCCTAAATTCACAACACAGTAAAACTTAATTAAGTCAAAATATTGGAATTTGCTCTTGCTGCTCAATTCTACAGAGAACTTATTTGTAGGATGAAAAATTCAAAAATCTACTGGAAAATAACTGGGCATTTATTATATCTTGGAGGTACATGTACATTTTGTTTCAATCTTTTTTAACAATGATTAAACACTAACTGGTTCAAACTTCCTGATCTCAGCTAGTCTTGGTCCCGCTATTTCTGCCACAGTCTGAGCTTTCTCCTGACCCAGGAACTTGACAGCTAAATCTCCAGCCTGTTGTCAAAACAAGTATTTATGTATCCAACCAGGGAACAATGTATCAACCAATTGCCAACCTCTTTTTTAATTTTAATGTTTCTTAGTTAATTCCAGTCAATTTGATTTACCTTCATCCAGCACTTCTCTAAAACATTCCTATCATCTGTCAGATTTGTGGTTACTTTAAGGTAGCATTCTACTGCCCTGGCATATTCCCCTGATGATTCCCATTCCCGGGCCTGTCGTACCATAGCCTCAATTCCACTGAAATGATTACAAAATGTCCCAGTTATCTGAACATCTATACACTAAAACCTCAAGTTTAGACAACTCCTTAATGAAGTGCTGAGAGAGGATAGTCTTACCTCTGACCTCCTTTGTCAGCCATTTCTCGTTCATATTCATCTTGTAAGTGTTGTAATTTGTGGGGAATATATTCTTTGCATACTCTTAGAGCATCTTGCCACATGCCAGATTCCTGCAACATTAGATATTAAAGTATTAAAGTTGTGAAACTCTTTCCTTTAGGTTGCAGCTAATTCCATGATTGACCTAGATTTCAAAATCATAACATCTGCTTCATTAGCAGAGTATACCTGACAAATAAAAAGTTCCTTTCCTGCATGGTTTAAATCATATGAAAAGTTAAAATTGTAAATATAGAAAATGGCTGTTTTTATGCAATATTTTTTCAAACATAAAAATCTATAGAATGCATTTACATGTACATAAATATTCCTGCAGAATTTCTGCTTGAAGGAAATAAACAGTACCTTATAGTATTTGACTGCCAGCTCTGGTCTCTGGGCACGCAGCAGATAAGATTCAGCCTTAGCATACTCCTTCTCCTCAAAGGCAAATCGAGCCTGTCCTACGAGGACATCAGCCACCGAGTCTGGGTCACTCTGCTCAGCAACTCGCTGGGCTGAGTCCCAGTCCTGGTTATGGACATACCTGGATAGGTAAAAATTACAGTACAGCAAACATTTAGATATATCTCACCTTCCAACATAAAAATTTAATTTCTTTTTAAGTGCATATGTGAGCCTTACAGGAATTGAATTTACAAGGATTGATCTTCAGCAGGCATATCTGACTTGAAGAATATGCATAAACATGTATACATTTATCTATGAACCTTCTTTGAATGATCTTACATAAGAACTGCCTCCTTTGGTTTTCCTGCCTTGATGAATTCTGCCTCTGCCTCATGGAACCTTCCTTCATCCTCCAGGTACATGGCATGCTTCAGATGGATCTCTGGGAGTTTGTTCTTGTTAGCCAAACGTGCCAGCTCAAAAGCAAAGTCAAAGGCACTGAAATAAAAACAGGCAGCATTTAAACAACTTCACATGACTATACAATATTTCAGAGATTAACATTTAAACATTGAAATACACAATAACTTTCTAAAGATTAATAGGGTGAAATTTTTGAGCAAAATCATTTAAAAGTTTAAGGTAAACCATTCAAAATTTAAAATAAATGTTCGGGTGAAATTTACAGTAAAATCATAAAAATTTTACAATAAAACTTATAAAAGAAAAAAATTGAAGCAAAACCATAGAAACCATAGTAAACTAATGAAAAATTTTAAGTGAAACTATGTAAGAAATTTGTTTAGGCAACATATAATTTAAGGATTAATTGACAAGCCAATGACATTTCATTTGAATTCTCAAAGTATTGTACACTCACCAGTTCTCGGAGGCATACTCAATGGCAGCATCTACCAGACCAAATTTAGCCAGAAGTTTGACAGCAGAATCTCCACCCAGACTCTTAGCCCACAAATAGGCAACTTGTTTGGCTGCAGTGGCTCCTCCACTATTCTTAGCAACCTAATTATAAAAAAGTATCATTTACCCAATTTTTCAGTTTCATACTCTTTGAAATTGAGACATCTTCCAGTACAGATAAGAGGTCTCATTGGTGTCCCTATTTCATACTACTTGCAATTACAACATTTTCCATACTCTTTGTAATTGCAACATATTTGCAAATTGCAACATACTCCAGTTCAGATATGAGGTACTCTTATTCCTATTTCATACTCTTTAATACTGAGGCAACTTCCAGTTAAAATACTGTATACAGGGAAATTTCATTTCCGTGTCTTTCACCTTCGTTGCATGTAGGCTAATTTAAGTGTGAAAAGGCAAAAATAACACAGGGCAAAAATGACCCTGTATACAGTATAAATGTACAAGGTAGCAGGATATCCCCTCACCCTATGTGCCTCCTCCCACATATCCTGTGACCGGTACATGTTAACAGCGGCCTTCCAATCCCCAGCCTCTAGGAAGTGATGCTCTGCCTGTCGTAGATTTCCCTCCGATTCCAGCTCCTGTTGGTTATAGTAATACCAGTTTTATAACATGTATTTATGGAAATATATTACGAATGCACATATTAAGAGAAAAAAAAACATTTTATGTTGCATATACATGTAAATGTTTGTCAATCAGGAACATTGTAAATTCTTATTTTTTTAATAAGACAATACAAATTTTTAGAAGTTTACATGTATCTACACATTATAACAACTTATTTTGATAATAAACCACTCTTTGGTCATTGCTTTCATTTTATTATAATCTCCGATTTTCCTATATTCTTGACTTTTGATCCCTATATCCTTACCCTGGCCAGATGCAAGTGTGTGTCCTGGACAAGGTCTGGGTGATGGACCTTCACCAGTCTGATCATGTCCCCATACATCTTATGTTTCTTATACATAGTGATAGCAAGGTCAGGCTCTTGAACTGCTACATACAACCTGAAATTAGGACAATCAGCATTACAGATAGTCAATTGATGCTTCTAGATTCAATATGTGTCATTTGATGAATACACAATAAATTTGATTTTATCATGCTAATATCTCCTTCATGCAATATTTATAACTCAAAATACTACTTTAAATAACAGTATGGTTGTGTGTACTGCACAGTGTTACTGAAATGTTTTGCAGCTCAGTGCCTCAGATCTCTGCATATTAATCAAACCTTTCAGCCTCTTTGAACTTGGCCTGGCTTTCCAGTTGACGTGCTTGTGAAATGTACAGTGTGGAGACATCATCTGATTTCATGTAGGTAGACGCCAACTACATTAAAATATCATAAACATAGATTTTAAGTACCCACTACTAAAACTGCTGCAAAAATAAAATAAAATTCAAAAGAATCACATCAGCTGGTTTTAAAAGCAATGCTAGTTTTTTTTTTGTTTTGTTTTTTTTTTTACTAAGACTCATTAATTTTAAGTCCTTTACCTTGTGTGCCATTTCCCATTTTCCAGCATTGTTATACATATCCACAGCTTCCCTAGTACAGCCAGCCTCTACATAGTACTGCTCTGCTTTCTAATGATTAAAACACAAGCCTTGAGATTTCTATAAATTCTTAATTTGGAATTTAAGTCAACTGTTATTAACTATGTTCCAAGCTTAATAACCAAAACTAGACATTTTTTAAAGCATTGGTAGATTATTAAAACCTTTATGCTATAAAATCAAACATGACAAAGTGAAAAGTATTTAAACACATACCTCATATTCACCAATGGAGGCATAGTGATCTGCGATCTGTTTGTAGTATTTGGCAGACATGGAGGAGTCCTGTATTTCCAGAATCTGTACAGCCTTAAGCCATTGTCGAGAATGAATGGCAGCTTCTACAGCTTTAGTTGTTGCCCTGAGAGAAACATTTCAATATATACTTTATATCTGATTTATTAGAAGTGCTGATTTTGATTACATGTATTTAAAGAATCAGGTACAAAAGAACACTTTCAGCTATAAAGAATCTTGCTTCTCTTTCATAGCTGACCAAAGTCATTGGCTTGCACACATGGCATATAGCATAATATTTAATTTGACATAAAAGATTTGGATTTTCTGGATCACAGGACTATTTAGCTTACCCGGCTTCTATATAGTGATTGATGGCAGCATCCAGCTGTTTCTGGGAGGACAAATAGTCTCCCCATTGTTCTTCAAGCTTAACAACTTCTGCTGGGAAAGCATAGCGAGCCAAATCCACAGCTTTAAGTCAAAACAACATCATAAGTATACAAGATACAGAGTTTTGGATGCAATTTTTCTGATATGTAAGTATCAAATGCACCAAAAAAAATATCAAATTTTACCTCTGCGGAAGGCATGCCCTTTTTTGAAGCACTCCATAGCCCTGGCTGTGTCCTTGATTTTTTCATACATGTCACCAGCCTATTTGAACAAAACAAAAAAAAAGCCCATGAGCTTGATGGTCACACAATTATCATTAATTTCTTTTTCATTTTCACTTAGTACCTGTACCTACCCTTTCATACAGCTCTCCTTTGATTAAAGCTGAGGCAATTCTTGAAATCAACTCTGAATTTGACATAAGCTCCTGCCAAAAAAAAAACAAGACATGAAGAAATTTATGACAAACAGTAAATTCAACAGAATACACGCTTGTTTATCTTGAATACACTGTAACGTTTTCACTGACTTCTCTACTTGTGGCTAGCCGTGCAGCCCTGGCAGGCAGACCAGCCTTCATATACAGGTTAATGGCTGCCAGGTAATCTTCTTCTCTTTCTTTAAGCTGTAAAGCAAGAAACACAGGTTAACTATTTCATAAAGGTGACACCTTCCTTTTAAATTAGCTTGCTACATTCTACAACCATTTCATATAATCTTCAAAAATGAAAACACTACTACAAAGAGTCATCCGTCATTTCTTTACACCAGTTCACAATAAAATATATGACCCCTGACCTCTCCAGCGGCCTCCTCCTGTCCTGTGTTTATCAACCACTGATAATAACTCCTCTGTAGATTCTCTAGCTCCGGATGCATCTATTAAAATAATATCACATTTCAAAATTGTTCACAACCTGTATAAGATAAACAAGTTATTTCCAAAACATGCAAAATCCAGAATGTCTTTGCTTATCAATTCAATTCATAAAACTTAATTTGGAAACTGACTTTGGCTTCAGCAACTTCAATGGCTTCATCCCACATGTGCATCTCTTGGTACATTTCCATAGCTTCATCTACATGATTCTGAAAATACAAGGGAAAAAAATAAAGTCGTCAGTGGTATCTACACTACTTGTACATACATGTACATATGTTACTTGAACAGTCATGCAGGATTTCTGGTTGTTAATTTTCATACCTGTTCAAGAAATATACTCTCTGCTTCTTTAAACCTCTTGTCCATTATGGCCAGTCTTGCCCTAACTCTGTAATGGTTGAAGCCATCCCCACCCTACAACACAAACACACAAATGTTTCTCTATATCCAGAGGCTGACAGCAACAAATATCTTAAATTACTATAACTTCAATGTACACTTACCTTTGTCCTGGATATTTCCTCAGCAAGTCTAAAGGTCTCTTTCATGTAGCGGGCTTTAGCAATGTCACCCAGAGCAGAAAAGCATCTGAAAAAATATTGAAAAGAATTAATGTAACTGAATATCATTTCTAGATGAAAAAATATGAAGTTACATAGGTAATGCTATATATTGACACCTTTCTGCTATATGAAGTCTTCTGTCCTCCATGGCCAGTTTGCTCAGAGTTTTCCACATGGCCTCAGTCTCTGGTGACATCTCCAGTGTCTCCAAAAATGACACAGCTCTGTCCAAAAAACAAAACAGGCATCAATCATCATATTTCTTAAATTTTATAGCATTGTTTATATGTAGACTCATTAAGAGTGCAACGATAAACCGTTTGACGGTATATCGCGGTATATTTTTCCATGGTTCAATTCACAATACTCTAAACTGATATCACGGTTCGGTTCAATCGGTCCAGAATTTTCCAAATTGTCCCTTTTGTTTCCTTATTTACAATTTCAAATGGTGTCCACGCAAAACATGAGGTCGACGATAACGCACTCAAACTCATCTCCTGCATTTCAGAGACCTCATATTTAACAGGGTGAAGGGTTTTATCTCATTCCTAATGTAATTAAAAGTTATAGATGTTAAGAGAAGTGATAAACTCTTTAGATCTAACAGTATTCTATGGTAGCACACAATATTTCATCACACATCTATTTCGATGAAAATTCGCTGTTTTGTTGACTAGAATGTGTTAACATGAGAAATATGACAAATGGTTTTTTACGAAAATAAAAGGAACAAGAGAATGAATGTCTTCCTTACTTATTCCAATTTAAAAGGTATATTATGAGGAAAAATACATTTTGTAAGTCATATCTCAAGTTTGAATCCAGGCTACCATAGTTCCATGTAAATGTTTTCATTGGTTTAGAATATTGTCACAACTCAAAGATTTACCTATCAATCCAAATCAAGTTAACAAAATTTATATTTTAATTATTATCAAAAAATATTAACATTTGATAAAACCCTGTCAAGTTTCAAAAAATATGATGACAAACTCCTTAACCTTGTCATGTATCGTGATACGTATCGTATCGTGAACTGAATACCGTGATACATATTGTATCGTGAGGTTGGTGTATCGTTGCACCCCTTAGACTCATACATGCATATTCAGTAAGCAATTGCATTTATTCATAAAATAATACATCTTTTTAAAGATTCAGACAGGGTTTTATCTGTAGTAAACCCTGTCCCTCACCTTTCATAATCCCCATCATCGATAGCTGTCCCAAACTCAATAAGTCCCTCATCAAGTGTGTAGGAGATGGTCTGTACCCCCTCTTGTACCACCACCTCTGTCTTACCGTCAGCCTTTTCCAGGTCTACAATGTCTCCCTGTTTATAAAATGAAAATGATATCAGCAAATATTTCAACTCTCATTTTCTTTTTTTGTTATCTGATGCAGTGTAAGGTCTAAACATTACCCAGGATTGTAAAACTATCATCTTTTTAAAATTATTTTTACCTTAATGGCAAACATGGTGACTCTCTCTGGAGCATCAATATTGTACCAGATGCACAGGTTTCCTCTGTTTTGGGCCACAACCACATCACTTCCTGGTACCCACTGTTAATGAAGCAAAATTGGGGATAAAATTAATTTTCAAATATTTTTGTAGGTATCTTCAAATTTTTGAAAGGAAAAAAAAGGCCCACTCACCTGTACATATGAACAGTAATTCAATATAGTTGTCCTTTGTTGTGTCTCAATGTCATACAGGTTCAACTGTAAATTTACAGATGAATATAATTAATTTAACAAGTAATTAATTAAGTATTTTACTGTTTTTCAATTTTCTTAAATAATTTCTGAATCTGATACAAACCCTCATTCTCTTGTCTCTAAATAAGATCTTTCTACCAGTTTCATTCAACTGAAATAAAATTGAAAAAAAAAAATTCAACAGATTGAAAATTTCAGTACTTAATAATCAGTAACATTAAGCAATTTACTTTTAAAAGTAGAGATTTATGTAAATTTCACATATTCTTACCTCTAACCAGTCAATCTTGGACTCATGGTTCACCTGGCCAAGGGTCATCCCTGTTACCAAGTCCACTGTAGATAGAATAAAGATGACAGAAATCTTAACATGTACATGTACAATGGTCTTTCAAAATACAGAATGAAACCAATAGATCTGCTACTAATTTTTCTTCTTTGCAGGTACATCCCTGACATATCTTTTGTAATAGAGGAATTAAAATCTGAGGTGTATCAAAGACATAAAATACTGTGGAATCACTTTAGTTTTGGAAGTTAATGTTTGTTGACAATCAAAATTTTACTGATTTTCTGGAAATAATTTCGTGGGTAACTAAATTGTACAGAAGATTTGATTAACCAACATGCTGACAAATTTATCATTCATGAAAATGTAAATTCGTGGTAAGAGTGACCCACAAAATCCACAAACAATGATGATTCCACAGTATTTCACTGGACAGTTTCAATTTCAACAAAGGAACACATTATTACTGATAGCGATGGTCTTCAGATCCAGTAAGTAGGCAATCTTCTTGTTATCCTCCACACCCCTCTGTTTCCTCTCATTCAGCCTCACACTGATCAGGTGGGGGTTCATGAACTCTGTCCTCACACACCCCAACACCTCATTGGCTCCGTACTCAATTAGGGCCAGCTCTCCCGCATTAAAGATCATGCAAACCTTCAAATATAAATGCATTCCAATTTTGCATATAAACAAAGGTACTCTCAATTCTTTTACCATAAAAATATTGTTATACTGCCAAGATTTCTAAATTACAAAAGGCAGTGGTTAACTGAGAATTAATTGTACTGTAATTTAATTATAACAAAATTTAAGGGAAAAAAGTCATATAATCAAAAATATACTTACACTTTCATTGTCAAAGTAATACTTCTCATTTCCTCCTGAGCCTTGCCATGGAATCTGAAAATAATAACATGAAATGAGAAATAAAATATTTGCTTCTTCCTTGTAAATACATTAACAAATCCCTTTACTTATATTTCACTTAAAAGCTAGAATCAACTCATTCTATTTCAAATGGTTCTTAAAAATAAACAGGGGCACCACAAATAAGAACATTCCCTCCCAAAAGAGCACATCAATCCCAATATAAATTAACATAGCTGTTACACACACACTCAACCATCTACAACACTATCTCCCCTCCAACTTCATTGTGAGAGAATAGAGTAAAAGAGATGCAGATAAGGCCACAGTTTCAGTATACCTCACTCAGCTTGTTTTGCTCAAGGTCTCCCAGTAAGATAGTGTCTGAGGTGTGAGCCACCAAGTATCGATCCTTCCCCATGATACGGACTTCATCAATCTCGTATCCATAGTGAGATTTCAGCACCACTCTCTGACCGCTGGACAAATTTTTCACAATCACCTTGAAAGAAACCATTCATTACAATTCAGTATTAACCATACCTTCAAGGAAGCATAGAAACTTTTTGCTCTGATGATTACTGCATTCCATTGATATAATTTATGCTAGTTAAGCAAGTTGAACCTTGAACACTTTTTTAATAAGCTAAAATATTCTCAAGGGGATTAACTCTTAATCTTACCTGACTGAGTCCAACATGGGTCATTTCAAACTTGTTCTTGTAGATGGTTCTCTTCAGACAACAATCAAAAATTTCAACTCCTCCACACAAGGTGCCCTGTTTACAAAACAAAATTATTTATCTACTAGAGGTACCATGAGCAAGATACCCCTGCTCCCATACGAGTATGATGGCAAAGTCCATTTTTTGCTATGGGTAAGCCCAAATATTTGTCCTATCAAAATATAAAGTAGGAGGTGCACAATAGCACTGTGTAATAAAGATTCTGTGAAATTATCATTAAATTTTATTTGGCAGTATAGGAGGAGAAAATGTGTACCCAGATAAGAAATGGGTACCCCCGATAATGTAGAAAGAATGGCAGAGTCCATGATTTGTCGTGAGAAACTTAAAATATGTGTCCAATCATGAAGTAAAGTACAAGGCGGACAATGCCAGGCACTATGTAATAAAGATTCTGTCAACATATCATTATATTTCATTCATTGGGATGGGAGGAGCTGCAGATAAGAGATGGGTACTTCCCAATATCATAGAAATAATGGCAATGTCCATGATTTTCTATGGGAAACCTGAAATATGTGTCCAATAAAAAAGTAAAAAAACCAGGTACACAATGGCATTATGTAATAAAGATTCTGTGAAAGTCTCATTAAACTTTATTCAGTGGTAAAGGAAGATAAGAGAAGGGTACCCCAAAGCATAACAGACAGACGTAAAGATAGATGGACACCCCATCATTATACTCCCCCTGCTTTTCAAGCAGGGGATATAATTATACTTAGGAATTTACAGCAAGTATGCTTTTAAAGATTCACCTAGTATGAACTGTATAAAACTTTGGACATATAAATGACTGATATGAAACTGAACTACATGAACCATCAAGTATATATACACTACTTACACAAGTAACCCTGGAGCCATCTTTCTTCCATGCTAAGGCAGTGATGGTATACAGATTACGGATCTCCTTTAGCTTTGGTTCATCCCACATCTGTCTCCTTGGGCTCCAATTCAGGACCCTTAACCTTTACAGAGAAATGATCAGTGGATGTTAAATTAACAATTTATTTTCATCAATGCCACCAGCAGTAACAACTAGTACACTAGTAAAGATAAAATAGTGTTAAATTCTTTATTAAGGTTTTTGTTGAATGAAATTTTTGACGGTCTTCTTGCATTTAACATTTTTAGATTAGCTGACTAATATGCATTTACTCAAACCATTCTCATTAAATATGCAAATTTTTCGTGTAATGTTGGCAGTTCTCTATTTTTCTCTTACTTGTCAAAACTTCCAATAACTATTGACTGTCCACTTGGACTGGACACAGCACATGTAAATTCATGTTCATCTTCCTCTCGACTGTAATCAAAGTGCTGGAAACTACGACCTTCACGTCCATAAGCAATGATTCTCTTGTCGCATCCAGCAGCCACTATTGAATTCTGGGAAAAGGCCAATGCATATGGAGGACATGGGTGTGTGCTTATCTTACCCTGAAAAACAAAGATGACACGACTATTCATTATCAACACTAAAGCTGTATAAAGATGCAATTTGCATACATGTACACACTCAGATTTGCATACATGTACACACTCAATGATAATTTTTAATCAGATAGGCATGTATGGGGAAAAAAAGCAAAACTATTTTTAAAAAAAATAATATTATTTAATTGCACTGTACCTGAGAATCTCCAGAACCTTCATCATCAAAGAAATACCTCACAATGGCACCATCAGCATGGCCAGACAAAAAACCCTTACCAGAGGGACTGAAAACAATTCATTCCATTTATTAGTAAATTACAGCTCTATGAATTTTTAAAATAATCATTTCTGGAAGAAATTCTTCCATTTGAAATTTCAGAAATGCTAAGTTGTCAAAATAATTCCCTGGAAGATGGACAGAAAACTAAAAAGTTCATGAGATCTTCTGAACTTTAATCAATAATGGGGAAATATTACAGTTATAACAAAAAATGGAAACACTGTATATCATCAATACAGGGAGGATTTCTTAACATATGTCTGACTTACTTTGAAGCTAGTGAAACCACATAAGATTCTGTACCATAAATGGTAGAAGATTTGTTCGTCTTTGTGTTGGCAGCTCTAACCTAAAAACAGTTTAAGTTCATACAAGTCAATAAATATTATCAAATAAATAATTGTTAAAACAAAGGTAGGAATATTTACGTATATATGTTGATTTACAATACGTGCTATATTACAAATAGAGTACATTTTACCTTGCCGTCTGCCAGTCCAAACACAATGGGTTGATCAGGGGGCCAGATAAGGCAAGTTACAGCACTCTGTTGTACAAACTTGTTACAGATTACCTTCTTCTCTCCCCTGATAATGAGAATTGGAATACCGGTATGTTAAAACACAAATTTAAAAGAAATCAAATGTTTATGAGTGAAAAATACTGTAATATATATCAATACTCCTGTATCTAATTTTGATATCTATATGAGTAAACATATATGTGCAAGATCATGTAAAATTTAAGCATAAACACAATTTATTTCTTTAATTTAGCTTAATTTTTATCCATTATGTTCCATAATTTTGATCTTTCTTATCAGTTTTAAAGATGTTCAACTTAAAGCAATTTCAGTGGTGGATATCAATACTTCAGAAAGATGTGTGGTAAAAATGTTGGTTATAAAAACAATAAATCTATTACTTTGATTAGTGTGGTGAGAATTTAGGTATCGTGTCAGAATATATTAAATAATATGTGGAATTTTGACTTTTACTAGAATATTTCCGAAAAAAAACATAGATTACACTGTTCTTACCAATCTTCTCCAATTTTGTAGACATAAATAATATTGTCAGTCTGTCCCACAGCAATTTTGGAAGAGTCTCCAGAGAAGGCTAGTCCTTTCACAGTGTAGCTTCTTTTTCCATACTTTAATGACAATTACAAAAAAATAAATGTATCAAGCTTTTACGTACCAGTATTTTAAGAAGCTTAAAAGTGAAAAAAAAAATATATAACAAGAGACCTGTTGGCTCGAGTGGCTGAGTGTCATAATGCAAGATTTTTATGGCAACATTATGTTTTTCATTTCTTATTTTCCCTTGGTTAAACTTGAAGTCTCAATGCAATCCTCATTAGTACTTAACATGCTTAAGGCAATGATTAAAACCAATATGAATTTATATTACAAAATGAGATTTTCATGATATATTGGCAATTTTACCTTGGCATCTGCTGGTTTTGTGGAAAATTTATCTCTTTTTTCTCCTTGTTCATCAAATAATAAGATAACACGGTCTGATGTGCAAACTGCCATCTTTTGGTTGTTTGGAGCCCAAGCAATGCAACATATCTTTGCTGCCCCATCCTTACAATCAAAAGAAATTATGCCATAAGTCCAACATACTAATCAAGCATGACGATTTCACAAATGCAATCTGTAATTTATCACTGATTTGCTGCTTTTAATAACATATGCTTTAACCCCCCCCCCCCCCCCCAAAAAAAAAGAGGACTAGCTGCATATCATCTTAATTGTTGAAGCACAGGTCATTATGATATTGTTGAAGCACAGGTCGATCATTATGATAACTTCATACTGATGATCTATTTACCACCAGTCATTTATCTTGCTAACTATATGTTTTCATTATAACACGGGTGTATACACTGGGATAGGCAACCCCTTCAACGCCATGTTTATTTACCCAAAACGTCACACACAGCACTACAAGTTTTTTTTAAGAAAAAAGTTTGTTTTTTTTTTTTATAAACATCAGGTCTGGCATAATCTTTTGATTTAGCTATATAGCCTGATTTAGCTATATAACTTTATTAAGATAAGCTTGATTTAGCTATTTTATCACACTTTTTTCTTAAATGTGTTATTTTTTCAGCATGTATATATGAATAGTACTTGCAACTTTTCGTCTATTCCTTACGAAAAACATATTTGTGAACAACTGCATAAAAATAGCTTTATCAAGCCATTTTGAATAGCTTAATAAAGCTATATAGCTAAATCAAGAGATCTGAACATGATAAATGAAATCTTTTTTGTTAATTGGAACAGACTTTTAATGAATTTTAGAGCTTACATTGTTTAACAAAATTAAATATAAAGTAAACAACCTCAAAATTTGGCAAATTCTCAGAAATACGGATGATCTAGGGACATGTTGATCAGGTCTGGTACAATCACTAGATTTAGCTACGTAGCTTGAATTACCTACATAGCTTTATTTACCTACCTGAAGTAGCTTTATTTAGCTACTAAATCAAACTTATTTCTTGAATTAGATTTTTTTCCAAAAAGTGCAGAAAATTGCACTTTGATGCAGTAATCATTTTCAACTTTGAACTCATCTGAAAACAATTCATGAAAAATCACTCTTGGAGATGTGTCTTTTTCTGCGCAATTTCAATCAAAGTTCTAAAAGTTTTGGGGCTATATACAGCAGTTAATTTGTGAAAAAAACAGTTAGGGGCCTACTTCTTGAATGAAATGACAAAGAAAACCAGTTCTGGTTAACATGAGCACAATGAGAAGCAATCATACTTATCCATGCCTCATCGCACACAAGGTAGTGTACAGTTACTCAAACAATGGAAATACATCCTTTCCTTAAAAGTGTTCAAACGCAGCAATGTTGAAACTATCTCTGCTTTGGATTGCTTTTTCCCTAGTATAAATATTAGTAGTCATTTTTTTGCGATTTTTTGTCTTTTTAAAATAAAAGGCAAAATTGTGAAAAGTTGCCTTGAAATAGCTAAATAAATCTACCTGAGGTAGGTAAATAAAGCTACGGTAGGTAATTTTAGCTACGTAGCTAAATGTACTGATTGTACTGGACCTGTTGATTTGAATACGCTTGAAATAAAGATTTCTTGTAGATTCTAAGTCTTTTATTTTTGACACAACGTACCTGTGGTGGTAGCAAATTTTTCAAATGTTTCAACTGCATGCTTGCAGTTTTAAATTCCTCAACCTTCTGAAATTATAGTTAAAATAGTTTGGTGTCAGCCTTGTCGAAGCCGATTTGTTTGTGGAATGCTAAGGAAGGCCTCGTTTTCGATACTTATCCGCAGATCCGTAAAACTATTATTTAAATATACAAAATTTACTCAAGAAAATAAATAAATTCTTTAGAAATGCTTTGATATCGTTGGGAGCCAAAACACTAAACAAACACTTTACAGTTCTTCAGAATTCTTTCATTTATTATTTTTTATTATTTTCAAATGGATCTAAGAATTTGAGGGGCGGAGTATATATTTATTCGAATGTCGAACCCGATTGTGATAATACATCCTTAAACATTAAAGTAATCTATGAGTAATTCCATGATTGAAACTTACATGATATTTTAAGAAATAGAAATAAACAAACTGTATCCGAAATAAGCAATTAATTAGATCCCGGGTGGGTAGATTACAATACATTCACCTTAAACACTACTCTTACCAGGAACCTATATATATGTATATATAGGTTCCCTGCTCTTACACTGAATACTGCATGTCATATATTGCTCATATTCTTCTTTAATGTAGTTAATACTCTCTTCATTCTCAATCCGGTACAGTTATCTTGACCTTTGTTGCAAATCTGAATCAATATATATGAACTGGATCAATCTCACCTTAATAACATGACCGTAGGAACCGGGGGGGGGGAGGGAAGGGGGGGTAATAATTTTGCCGATATATAGAATACTATAGAAAACATAGCTACTATATGCTGGTGTCCCTTCAATAATATAATAACGTCTGATGACTTTTTTTTGCGTACAAATAATTTTGGTAGTTGATAGTGCCCCCCCCCCAACTGAAAATGTATGGTTGTGCCCCCTCAAAGTGAATTTGCTTCCTACGGGCCTGAATAATAATTATATCATATGCTCCAGAATCTTAACCTCTCCTTATAAATGAACACTCAGATTTATGAATTAATCTACTTAAGACTTATCATCTCCACAACTTAATTAGATTACACGTACATATAACTGCTTTAAATATTGATGTATGATCAACATTAGTTACTTCTTCCTTAATGACCATCTGCATGCATCAGAGTCAAATGATTCTCTTTAAAACTTAGTTTGAATAGTTGTAGTCTTTACCTTGGACCCTCAAACATTTGAATTTTTTCTGGTCATATCCCAACTTTGTACCAGCTTTGGAAGGTGAGATGGACTCAACATTTCATCACAGTGCACAACAATTTTTACTTTAACCTTCTGACTCTCAAAATAATATGACACAATTACCCATCTATTTAACAAGTTAATTTCACTTTGGGACTTATAAGAAAGATAAATTGTAATCTACATGTGTCCACAACATTGAATAAGACTCCCTGTAATTTTCACTTGACGATTTGATTCTCAAATGAATGGATTGGTGTTTCCCTGATCCCCTATTTCAAAATAGCAGCTCTATATCATGTTTGATACAGAAAGGTCATAGAAAACTCCATTGTTAGGCCAACTTTAAAATGTTTGTTTGCCCTCTCCCCGACTCTGGATGAATAAAATGGGTCGGTAGGTATGTGGGAAATATTTTTTTGCAAGAAAATGTCAACATCAATGCTGAATTTTCAAAATTTATTTTAAGAAATGCATTAAAAAAAAATTCTGGAGATAAAAAAGTTTTGAGTCGAATCATTTTCAGCCAGTTGGTTGGGAGAAGGCAACCAAACATTTTTTTTAAAGATAGCCTTACAAACATATGGACATGTTATTATACATCTATGTATCTCCTTGTAACTTTGGGATAACAAGATGTGCTTGTGAAACACTGATGCCCCCGTATGTACATTTGCAAATCAAAAATGTTGGTACCCAAAGTAAGGTCTTGTCTCGAGGAATATACCTGTGAAATGTGAAAGCCCAAGCAGCAACCATTGAATAGATATGGAAGAGGTTAAAGTTCTTCAAAAGTAAGTAAAACATCAACGTCAAGGTCAAAATTAATGGTGCCCAAGGCCTTCTCAAAAGAAATACACATTTGAAGTATGAAAGCCCTAGCACTAACCGTTAAAAAATTATTGCCAAGGTTAAAAGTTTTTCAAAAGTACGTCAAACTCAAAGGTCAAGGTCAAAGTTGTTGGTATCAAAAAGGAAGGTCTTGTCACAAGTATTACATATGTGAAGTATGAAAGCCCTAGCACCAACTATTCAAAAGTAGTGGCCAAGGTTAAAGTTTTCCAAAAGTAGGTCAAACACCAAGATCAAGGACAATGGGCTAAAATTGTTGGTATCCAAAGAAGGTCTTCTCACAAGGATTACAAGTACCTATGTGAAGGATGAAAGCCCTCGCACCAACCATTCAAAAGTTATGGCCAAGGTTAAAGTTGGATAAAATTTTGCAAAACTAGGTCAAACTCCTAGGTCAAGGTCAAAAGGTCAAATTTGATGGTACCCAAAGAAAGGTCTTGTCACAAGGATTTCATACGCATTGAAACATGAAAGTCATAGCTCCAACCAATCAAAAGTTATGGGCAATGGTAAAGTTTTTGCGGACAAACAGACAGACAGGGCAAAAATTATATGCCCCCGAATCTTTGATTACAGGGGCATAAAAACACACCATAAACTCCTTTGGAGGAAGTAATAAAAACTCAATTTCAAACTTCTTTTAATTTTTTTTTTGGCATATACATGTATTAATTTTGCACAAATGGCAAAATATTTGTACAATATTATGGTCCCAGAACAAGTTCAACATTTAATCAACTATTCTGAGAAGGAAAGCAGATTTATCTGTCACCTGCAACATATCATCATTAACAACGTAAACATCTTCTCTTAAAACAGAGCGTACATAAACATTTTCACAAATTAGTCCACATAAGATTCATAAATAATCCATATACAGAATTCAATTATTAAGGCACATCCATCAAGGTATGTACTGAGACAACATTATATTACATTTCTATCAGAACCCTGACTATTTAATTGTATTCCTTGTCTTAAATCTCTCTAAAAGTCCATGTTTTTAAATATAAGTTCACATTTGTATTTTATCCAACAAAACTTGGTAAACTTCTGTGAAAATAAACAACAGCCGTACAACATAATAAAGCAGGCCTATCTACATGTATTCAACTTCAGTATCTAATACCCACAAAATAATAATAATCAACACGGTACAATAATATCTGGCAGTTTGCACACTTTTATATCTATAAAGGCAGAAAAGAACACAGACTTGATATAAGATCAAATGTCACTAATTATCATGTATATATCCTAAAACAGCAAAACAAACACTGGCAATGATTAGCTTTTTTGTTATAATAGTTGTTTTGACACATATTTTTTGTTGGTGTACAGGGGAAAAAATAATCATAAAAGGACGGCATTACAATAGTAAACTTATAAATAAATGAGGACAACAGTTTCATGCTCTGGAATAGTTGTAAGTATAAAGTTGTGCACAATTTCTATTGTTTTATTCTTTGTCCACTACATATGTATATAAGCTGTAGTGACTAATACTCTGTTTTAAGTATTGCTCTCGGGAATTATTTGTATGATGAAAGTTAATATTGTCGACGAGAACATCCCCATTAGCAATAATAAAAGTAGACTTTTTAGATGAAAAACTTCTCAAAAGGAAGTTTGAAGTTATAAGATTATAATGGTAAATTTACATGTGATTGAACATTAAAACAACCAAATTTTAAAAAACAGTCTGAGGTAGACATGAAGGAACTTGCTCAAAAAATGTCGAACACAAAGTTGTTTGATCAATAATCAAATAAAATATAATTCACAGTCAGTAAAATACAAGAAAAAGGTTCTTTTGATATTTCTAAATAATATTAAAAGTGTACGACCAGTAAACTCTTTGAATATCAAATATTTCAATTATCTTGACATGTACATGTATATAAAGCAAATCATATCTTCACATTCAAACAATCTAACGTATTTGTTTCTCCCATATAATAATAAGAGTAAACGAAAGGCACAGCTTCCTTTGATCAATATTGAAACATACAAGCTTATTCATAGAATACTAGGATTAAAACTGCAATGAGAAAAAAATCAAAAAAAAAATATGTTTTCAGTCTTGACAATGAAAAAGTAGAATGAACTGGACAAAAAATGGCTTTTAATCAAAACCTCACACAGCAACTTTATGATACACACATAATAAAATTAGAATTTCACCCATTTCTAGCATGTGAAACTGTTAACATTTGGAAGCAAGTTTGAGCATTGTAGACAAAAGAACAGAAAAGAGCCAAATTCTTCAGCTCCCTTATGAAAAATCTGTGCCAAAGTAGCGATCTCCAAAGTTACCTGAAAAGATCCAAAGCATGGGTTGTTATTAATAAACCATGTCTAGAACCTCTTAAAATAATTTCCAACTCAAACTTCACATATTTTAAGTTCTTCTTGAAAAAGAGGTTGAGAGGGTATAATTGACAAGATACTGTAAATCCTGTTTTATTTGCGAGAACTTTATTTTCGCGTAATTACGAGACCATTTTCTCGTGAAAATTTAATTCTGGCATTTATTTGTATAAGTAAAGATCATATAACATAAAAATTAAATTCGCAAAAATTATGTTCCGATTACAAAAACCAAATGACAATTTCGCGAAAATAAGGTCTCATGAATATTTATTGATCAACAGTACTAACCTATGCCTGGCATAATGTGGAATTGTTCATTCACTTCCTTATCTACTGCAGTTGTGAAAATTTTTACTTTGGGGAATGCATAAGCAACTGAGTGGACACCTGTAAAAATAAATATCTACAGTTGTGATATCTTTTATATGCTAGTATACTTCTGTTAACTTTTAAGTGTACCAAGCAAATCAAAAGCATGGAAGTTTGTGGTCCGGTGACACCCTAAAATTTTGTTTCTTGTCGGAAACTTACAATTTGTCTATTGGTACATGTACCCGGTACATATTCAAAAGTATTTTGAAAATAAAATCATAAGATTATTAACAAAGAGATATTTTTTCAGGGGAAGAACTATTATTGTATATACTCGCCTGTAAGTCAGTTGTATTTTTTTGGAAGTAATTTTAGAGGAATTTGCCAATGACCCACTTATAAGTCAGAATGGTTTTCTGCTAGAATTTTTTCCAATTTCAGATCAATATTTTATTGTATTTACCTGTGTTTCAGTATGTTTTGGGTATGATATCGATATTTAATCTTTTATTAACAATTTAAACAAAAATAAGATCATTAAAACCTGTGAAGACTTGCACGTGATGCATATTATAACCTTAGATCTACCTTTCCCACATGTCCCCATCTTTGTCAAAGGTAATTATTGGAGATTACATAAATACTGTATAAATACTGTATACTGTACTATTTTGTCTTCAAGAAAAAATGCCGACGTATTTAGGACTTCCTTGTAAGTTGGACTTACAGTTTTGGACCAAAATTTACTTCCCCAAAATCTGACTTATAGGTGAGTATATATGGTAAATCTTTCAAGTTGGGGGCTTTATTCCAGGTCTGTATAATCACAAGGAGAAAAAAAACCGAAATTTAGAATCAGTCTTAAAAAATCAGACTCTGTATCAACGTAATCAATACTGACCTGTTTCTGCCATCAGTAAGGACAGAAGAGTGATGTTTTCTTCAGGAACGTCATGATCTAACAAGACTCGGATCGCCATCATGGCCGCTGCTCCTGTTGCCACAGTAGCATCCATCAACATAACATGAGATTCTTTAATGTCTTTTGGCAGACGGAGGTAGTGTAACTGTAATGAGAAACGAATATAAAGGTTAGGAATTCAGCTGTGAAACAATGCATTACAAAAGAACCAAGGGGTGTCAAGTATATATATAGTACAGGTAAATATGCTTCAGTAACACATGGCAGTCTTTATATATAATGAATCAACCACTTATTACCTAAGGACAAGAATACTTTCTTACTTCTTTACACATTTTTAATTAGTTGCAGAATGTTTATCAGTTTTGATTGAGTCCTCCTCTACTAAAGAAAAAGGAAGACATCTTAGTATACTGATGGAATCTCATACAGTATGGCTATATCAAGTAAATTTGATCCTTACCTCTGGTTCACCAGTATCTAAATTGGTCTGAATTAAAATTTTGCCCAGTCTGATGTCCTTGCACACTTCACAAAGAGCCTGTTCCATTGTCTCTCCAGCTCTCAAAATAGAAACTCCACAAATCTAGAAACAAAACGGTGAAATATTGGGTATTATTCAATCCAATCTTAATGCACAATTATAAATGTACATCTTTTCTAGATGCTGTTGTAAAAACAAAATGTGTAGTGACTTCAAATTTTCTGAAAATTAATTTGCATTGCAATTTTGTATCAATTTTATTTTGCAATTGTTTATTTTTTTCAAAACAAATCTCTAGGGACAAAGGAATTGTATAGATCCTCATTTCTTTAATACAGGAAATTAAAAATAATTGTACTATAGTTCAATCAAGTCAAAAGAAAGTAATAACAGTTTTAAAAGTTTATCAATAATAAATTCGAGCTTCTTTTTTACTTTGTTTAGCTGACTTGCTATTTTTTCTTAATTATAATATTTTAAATCAATTCATAACACAACTTGCAAAGAATGTGAAAATAAAGCATTTAAGCCTTCAACAGCATCAGTGATTATACATGTACTACATGGAATAACAAAATCCTTTTTTTAAATCAAAACCTGTCAAGTCCTATAAGGCTTGTGCTGATGCTTAGCATGTTTTTTAAGAGGGAAAGGTGTTCAGGATAGAGAGACACACTGACTGAAAGGGTGAAAACCAACTGTAGTGCTTATATTATTTACTAATAAAAAAAAATTAATTACATGTACCAGTAAAAAACCACATCAAATATGTATGTATTGTATTTTCCAGTGTTTATTCTACATATAATATATTGAACACACACTTATTAAAAAAAAAATATTTCAAAGAAAATAAAGAGGAAAACATTTGACCAAAAAACAAAATTTTCTAATGTGAAAAAGGAATAGGTTTGATTATTTAAGAAAATATTTTGAAATGTACTATATTACTTTGTGACAGCATTCTTAAACATGAAATTGATATCGCTCTCAATTAAAATACATACTAGTACATTATGTAAACAAATTTGGGAAATTCAAAATCTCACAGTGACAGGAAAAAGATGAAGATTCAATCTTAAAGAGAGAAAAAATGCACTAACATTAAGGATTCTATTAATATCATGATAATCAAATCAGCTTAAAGGTATGACCACAGTTAATATCTGTTAGCCAACAAAGTCGTTGGACCTTTTTGCATGATAATTAATGCATGTAAAAGTAAAGTTTACATGAAATAATAGGAAAAGTCAAATGAAGTTGATGTATAGTTAAATCAAGATGAAATCAGTAGCAGGCACAATTCTAAAAATCTGAGATATAAATTTACACATAGTCATACAATAAAAGCTGCACAATCAGGCAGTCACATGCTTACCATTCCTCCATCGCCCTGATGGTGGAAGAAATCAAAGTCATTAAAGCAATCTGTCAGGTGTTTATAAAGACAGCATAAAATTAGTCAGCTATCAGAATTTTTGGGAATAGAATTTATATGTAAAAAATTATACCTTGCTGGCATCCAGTCTTTTTCCATGGTATTGAACCCCTTGAGGTGTGTCTATAACAACAGCCTGTAAATTAAACAAAATTATGAGATTGTGAAACAAAATGTTCCCCGGGGTAGTAATTGTAACTTGGCTTAAATTCTTACTGGAAATCAACTTTACTTTGTGGCTACATTCTAATGAGAGCTTGCTATTTGAAGATACAAGTGACAATTTTTTTTTCGCAATTTAGGTCCAAAGTTATCTTCTCTTTCTTCCATTACATGTACGTGATTAACTTGTTCAAGGCGACACACTTTCATGGTTTCACTATCATCACAAAGCTCTCAAAGTTCAATCAAACCTTAATTCATAGTAACCAAATGTTACATAGTTGTGAATCTTTGACCAAGGATGAAGTTGAGCAGAGACAGGCGCCCAATGAGAAGTAAATATGACAATTATTAAAACTCAATTTCAATTCTGTGACAAGACACATTTAATCCCCCCCCCCCCCACAAAAATTAAAACTATCTTGATGGAGCCAAGCATTTTCTTACCTTGTGTGGTAACATTGATAGTGCATACTCAAACAGCAACCTCATGAGCCTCTTGGAGTAGAAAATAAATTCATCCCTTGGGGTTTCACGATTTCTGCAAGAAGAAAAGATAAAGAACCATGAAACATATGAGGACTGTTAGAGAAGGTTCTAGACACATTGGAAATTCCTTTTTTTGTCAATCATAAAGAAATTTCACATGCACTGTATTAGGTACAATTTTTATTATTGAAGTAAATAATATGACAATGTATTTCATGTTTGATATCAAACCTAGAAGTTGAGGTCAAGGTCAAAGCAGATCTCCAGAGAAAGATTTATGACAACATCTGCTTTGACCTGACCTCTGATCTTAAAAAAAAAAAAAAACTATACCAAAGGCCACTTTTTAGGTGAAGTTAAAGCCAGACTGAGTTAAGGGGAGAGAAAATATGTTCTAGACAAAGACTTTACATAGAAACTTGATCTGTCCTTGACCTTTGATCAAGTCACTGTGGAGTATGAGCAGAATTGGACCAAAGCATAAAATACACAAATTTCACAAGGAATTAACACAAAAAACTACTACAACCTTAACTTCTGACCTAGGAATTTGGTTTAAGGTAATTGTACACACTTTAACCATTGGCACTTAGTGGCATTGGCCTGATAAGACCAAAGGAAGAGAAAATATGCTCCAGAAAAGAATTTTTCTTAGAAACCGATTTTGACATTGACCTTTTATTTAGAAACTTGGATCAATGAAGATTTTTAAAACATGCCACAAAATTTTCACTATTTCTGAATTATCTCTCCTTGAATGAGTGTGTGGCCCTTCATTTGAACAAATTTGAATCTTCTTCACCCAAGGATGCTTTGTGGAAAGTTTGGTTGAAATTAGCCCAGTGGTTCTAGATAAGAAGTTGAAAATGTGAAAAGTTAACAGACGGATGGACGGACAGAAGGACTAGACACAATGTGATTCAGTTTTCAGATCAAGTGAGCCTAAAAATGTATAAAAGCAGATAGACTACACTATGCAATTCAAAAATTTCTGTGACCATTAAGCTCACCTTATAAATGTGTGAAGTCCCTGTACTTGTGGAGTCTGTTCTAAAACATATAGACTGTTTGGCATTTTTGTACCATTCATGGCAGAGTGTGCAAGTTCTTTTCGTAATTTAAATCCTCTCTGTTGAAAACAAAATAAAAAATGATCCAATGATTTATGTCAAAAGAAAACACTTTCATAACAATTCATAGCTTTTCATTCAGTTATAAAAATGTCATTTCACAATGCTCTTGTGTACTACTAGCATTCATCTAATGGAAAACTACAGTATGAGGAAGAGAACTAATATGTACTGCTTTTTTTTAAAACAATGTTACATTGTTGAATTTTTCATTCACAATAAAAAAGAAAAACTTTTTAAGGTGTAACAGGGACTTGTAAATCTAAAAAGCCATCTGCAATAGAAGTTGTGAACTGCTATTCTAATACACGGCAATAATGTTATGTTGATCAAACAAAAATATAAAAAAAATGTGAGCACACTTCACTCGATCCTTACAAAGAATGCCGCCAACTCAGAGTTGCTGGCAAAATCAGCTGCCTAAAGAATACATGTAAAGTATATGTACTTATTCATAATGTATTGTAGGATATAACAAATTCTGAAAGATACATCTACATGTATATCTATTTGTCAATAAGCAAAATAGTACTGGGCAAAAAAAATTTCATTAAAGAATTTCAGACTCTCACCTCTGAAAATAATTTGTTAATATTAATCTACTGTAAACCAACTATTATTCGCGTCAACTTTTATTTGTGATTCGTTGGTTTGAAATCAATCCGCGACGATTAATTTTTGCGACTGAGGAAACATTCTCTACCAATAAAAAGCAAAATAAATGGTTCGCAGCGGAAAATATTCGTGAGTTAAAGTAGGTCGCAAAACACGTGAATATTTCTCGCACGCGAATAAAAGTTGGTTTACAGTAAGTCAACAGTTACCTTTTCAGTTAAGATTGATCTAAGTCAACTGGAGTTTTTTAAAGTTAAAATAGTTACCTTTTTAAGTTAAGATTTTTCTAAGCCAACATTTACCTTTTCATGTGAAGACTGATCTAACCAAGTCAACAGTTACCTTTTAACAGGGGCTGACAAATAAATTTTTAGGCACTTGTCCAAGGGCAAGTGCATGGTCAAAATTCACTTGCCCTACCTGAATATTTGCTTGTCCCACCATAAACTATTATCATATTTCAAAATATAAATCTAAAAAAATGGAAGACAAATACCGAGAAGATCATGCAAACCCCTGTACAAAGCTTTAGATCTATGACTTTACATATGGATTTTATTTTTTTCAAGTCACTTGCCCATGGGCAAGTAGTGGTTGATAAAATTTCACTTGCCCACCCTTAAAATTCACTAGCCCTGGGCATCGGGCAATGGGATTTGTCAGCCCCTGTTTTAAGTTAATATTAATCCAAGACAACAATTACAATTTTTAATTAAGATTAATCTAAATCAACAATTACCTTTTTAAGCTGTGTGTGGACATGAAGGACAATGAGATCAATGGCCACTTGGTTTTCTCCCCCTAAAATTGAAATTAAATTTAAATTTTATTTCAACTTTTATTATCAGGCATTTATTGGTGCATTGCAACTAAGAATTGAATTCAGTCCCTGTATTCTTTTTTCATGTGATAAACAAAACTTGAACAGCCATTTTTTGTGTGTGGTGGTGGGGTGTGTGTGTGTGTGTGGGGGGGGGGGGGGGGGGGAGTCTGCATACTGAAGATAAAAAACAACTTTGAGAAGAAATTAAGGTGTGATGAATTAATGCCTTAAAAATGTATCTACTAGCTCATTTTTTCAAGAAGATAAGAACAGATTCAGAAAAGTACTTGATAAAGTAAATTATTTATTTTTGGTTAAAATTTTGATAAAGAAAGATAGCATATTTCAATTGCTCAATTCCTGAATCTGTTGAAAGATAAGATTGTGATGCTGATGAGGGATTTAACAACAGAGAAAATGACATGTAATTGTATTCTTTGCCATGTTTGTTCTTTAAAATGGGGAATCAATGCCCAAAAGGTGAACAATGCTTTAAAATTTTTCACTGTAGTGCAAACCTTCAACAAAATTCTGAATGTTTAAGTAAACCATGAAGTGGGGTAAGGCAAGGGGGTATAATTTTGAAAGTCTGATTCACATAAAATCAATTTTGAGACACTTTCACTTGTACAGTGTAATATTTCAAGATTACCTGGTAGTTCTTCTTCACATTATTTTTAGGCATACTTTATTAATTAAAGTTATAAAAATCAAAGTTTAAACTTTCTGACCTCTGGGTACAATGATGTCTGCATGTGACATGGTGGGCTCTATATAGTGGTCAAAGGCAGGCTTTACAAATTTGCTGTACTGTTTCAGCACACCCTCTAGTTCCCGTCCCCTCTCTGCTATGTCTCTTTTTAGTCGTCTGGCCAGTCGAATGTCTGAGTCAGTTTCCACAAAAATCTTCATATCTAATAGCTATAAATATGGTAACGTATCTCATAATTATCATACAAAAATAATTCATTTGTAAGTAAAGGAGTATTCTACTTAAGTATAGTAGTGTGGTCCCTTTTTACACCCTTGGTTTACCGGTTAAATATTAGCGTACGGTTTTTTGATTGTTTTCATTGTGTATAACGAAGTATTTCTAATTAAAACATTGTGTATTTATAATGAATAATTAAACATATCAAAAAATACAAGCCTATTTTTAACACCTATCGCACTAAAAAATCCCGGAACATTTTCCCCCGATCAGACTACGGTTTCTCTATTACACGGAAATGGGCGGAGACATTTAGATTAGATACTATAAAAAGAAGATCTTGGAATTATATTTTTCGTTCAAAGACGAATTATATATTCAAGATTCACAATCAACTACAAATACAATTTTCTATTTACAAAACTTTGGCAATAAAAGCTGTAACAAGATGAACCAAACAAGTCCATGCTGATCGATATAAAACTGAGTACGTTTCAAGTGAGAACTAGCACGTTTACTGGGGGCATTTACCCGTAACGATACAAATCCACGTGGCTTGCTATGATTCTAAACAGGTCATAAAGAGGTTAATCGCATTTAAATGAAGTCAAAGAAGAGATTCAAAATCATAATACTTTTAATTAGAAAACATAGAGCACAAGGTTGTTCAACAAAGATATTTTCACTCAACCTTTACAGATATAATATACACATTATATTTCAAACTCGACTCTGAACAAACCTGTGCTCGGTGTTTACGAAAGCTTTGAAGTGTGTACTTGTCACTGATTTCTTTTGATATTCATGAAAATCAAAGGACCCTACCTTCAACGCGCAGCTTTGTATGCTGCCTATATCTATTGTTTGACATTCTTAGATGATGATTCAAATAATAAAGACATTAGTTAATAATAAAATTTAATTTTTAAAAATTCTAATAAATGTTCGAAATTTGACGAGTAACCGGGGACCACAGATAAGCCTTATTGAGACTTGTTCTTTATACAATTTTTACCCTATAAAAATGATGTAAAACGATTTTTAATCATTTTTTTTTTTTGGTCATATACATGGAGAATCCAATGAAAAGGAGTACAGTAATGAAAACAAAATGGTCAACTAAATTCTGTTCCAATATTGTTTTAACAGTTTCTACATGAAAAGAAGCATGATACCCACATTTAATAAATCTTTGTTGACAAATGACATAATGCCCTCAAATATCACAACATTGGCCCCATATATTGTTTTCTGAAATAGACAAAAATGACATTCATTGCTTATTCTGTTCAACTGTTTTAAAATAGGTTCCACTTAGAAAGTTTCTGAGGTTCAAACTCAATGGAAAAATTAATTGATGGATTTTTTCAGTTTTGATATATTTATAGAAGTCTTTTGAATTCAAGGTATTTACGCTGTGTTTTTCTCTGCTGTGAGTCACAAAGTTGTAGATGGGGACTTCTACTTTCTTTCCCTCCTTGAGGCGACGCAATGTTTTAATCAACAGATCAAAGTCAAAAGCATCAGGATGGTCAAAGTTGTATTCATTTTGTTCTGCTCGCTCATGTTCTTTTGGCCCAAGAACCTGTAGAGACATAAACAATCCACAGAAGGTGTATTAAAAGTCAAACTTGAGTACCTTAGCAACTTTCAATGCCAAAATTAAGGACTGCATTTTGATTCTTTTTTTTTTAAACTTTTGTACATATTCTTCAGAGAGCAACAAAATTTGTGGTTCTAAACGTGTGTTGCCACAAACATTGACTAATTTTAATTGTCATGCAAATCTGTCTCAAAACAGAGGTGCACATCTTAAAAAAATTCTGCAAAAAAAAATAAATAAATTTGCAAAGTAGCAGACAGTTACTCTAGTGGTTATAGATAACAGATAAAGTCATTTATAGTATAGGTACCCTTTCATTGTTGTGGACTGACAGAAAGATTTAAACACTTCCTAGGTTAGATGTGCTCTTATATCTGTGATGTGTACATTACTACATATTATTCAACAATATTTCCATGGACAAACATTTTAAATGTACCTGATTTCTTTAATACACTGATTTTTAATTGGCTGATCACAAAAATTATTTTTGTCGATATATAAACCTAAAAGTGATAAAAGTTTCTGGGACAATCTTTGAAGATTCGTAATAAGCACTTGGTGATCTTACCTTGTAAAAGGAATCCATGCTTAGCAAGCTGACCCAAGGAACATCCAGAGCCTCAATGATTTTTCTTGCCACAGTTGTCTTTCCTGAAGCACTTCCCCCACATAGCCCTAGAGATGTTTAGAAATTCAGACTTTAGTGCACTCATAAAACTGATATTTCATTCAAGTTAAGTTTACAATCATAATAATGAACTGTTGGTCTGTAATTTATGTAGAACAATCTTTTTATTAAGAATGTGAATTAACTAATTTGAACCTATCAATATCATGTTTCAAAGAGAGACTGTAACTAATTCAAAATCTTAAAATACAAAAGCAGAGTGTTGAAAAATTAAACATCCCTGCACATTACATAAATGATATCAAAGAGCACATTTTCAGGGCATGTATTACTAGTTTGTACCTATGACAAATGCCTCCTTCAGAAGACCATGGGAATCATACCATGGGGGTCTTCCTGAGGTGTACACAGTTCTCCCCCCTGCATGGAAATACTTTGCACTGCTAGCTGATGCTCCTGTGCGAGACTTGAGGCGTGCCAATGTGGGTTTTACAGGACTCTTTGGAGCCTTTAGTGGAGAATTGACAATGCATGTTTCATGTTCCTCACCACTCCCACTCCCACTAAAGAAAGTTGACAAGATAAGAGTACATAATTAATATAATATTTGAAAAAAAAAAAATCATAATTATAATAAATCAATACTGTGAGAAGTTATTAAGGTGTCTGTAAGGACTAAATTTGCCTACTCTCAATTACGTTTTTTTTTTTTTTACAATCAAAATGAATGCAACAATTCAAGGTAACACTAATTTTTTTTATTTTGCCAGATTTTCTTGAATAGGCATTGAATATGGAGCACAAATTCTATATACTGGATGAAAGCCTCACAATAAAATTTCAATTTCTTTATAGAAAAAAAATTATTTAAACTGTGAGTTAATAACAAGCAAGATATACAGCTCTTTAGATCATCTAGCTAAAGAATAGCCAGTTTGGGTTTAATATTTATATATTTTTAGTACATAATGGATAAAAAATACCAGAAATACTCACACAACAGGCAAATGATAGCTATTACATTTTCAGTTTGATTTATAGGTCCAAATAATGATTATATTTAATTGATAAAGACATGAAAATTTATGTAAAATAGTTTCGAAATTTCAGACATTTTCAGGGAATATAATGTTACTTATTGATAAAATTATTGACATGGTTTAGTCATATCTTTGATAATTGACCTTTAATACCAAATATCAGTTCCTTTGACAAGAATATATTCTACTGTCTAAAATACGATATACTTAAATTTTTATGAAAAATCATAATATTAATTGACATGAAGTGTTTAATTTTTTAAACAACATAGTGACTTTATAAGTTAAATAGCATTTACTTAAAGACCTCAAAGCACTGCTGATTGTCAAGCTTTCAGGCAAATTTATTTTTTTTAATTTCTGGAATAAATGTAAACAGAATCAAAATGGTAAAACAACAAACCTGTCCATGGTCTAAGGTTATAAATATAAATTAAAAAAATGACACACTAGTTGACTTAATACTGCATGACAAATGTGTGGTTTGAAACACCATTACATAGTGTTCACTATAAAATATTGCACATGGATTGCATATTGCATCTTGGCATGTTACCAATAGTTCGGAGAAAATGAATAAACACGTGGTAACAAATGTATGCCTTCTACCTCATTAATCAAAAAAGAAATGAAATAATTTACAGGTAACTAATTAGTCTTCAATTATTTAGTGTAATGAATGAACACTTTACCTGTCAGATCCAGCTGAATGAGGCCTATCAAATGTAAACGCTGACGGCTGTGTCTGAGATTCCATGTTTTTGCAACGCGTTGATTGGCTTTTGTTCGCGCACTTCCTGATCCTGTGTGCGGATTCGCGCGGTTCGCTTGATTGAGTTGAAACAATGTTACTTATGAAACATTTATTAAATTGACATAAAATCAATTTTATAGCCTGTAGTGTACACTAAGTTCTGAAAACACTGTGTTTTTACTATGCATAAATGACAATTTGTATACGAATAAATTCATTTCCGGAATAAGTTATTCGTATCACATTCAAATTTTACACAAACTTCCAGTGTAAACACGAAAGATGGAGGAAGACGTTGGCTCATTTTTCTCCAGAATTGCCTCTGCTATATTCTATGGCGTGGCATCCTTTATGATAATTGTTGCCAACAAATTAACGCTGACATCTTACGGGTATGTAATATTTCTTCTTTATTATTGTCTATGTATCATGCCTTGTGTAATAAATTGCTTTCTTGCTAAAATAAGAGAAATATAATAACCAGTGTATGGAAAAAGGGTCGTTCAGTGTAATTATTTATCCTGTTACATGCATGTCGGAATATCAAAATGCTGAGAAATGATGATTCAAGCTTCAAAAATTTGTTGACTTGGCATAGAGGATTGCTTGCATTGATTATCTGCATCCTATTCTGTGTCCTATAATATTGCAAATGTATTTACATTGGATATCCATATAGCTGCTATATGAGTTAAAAAAGATATACATTTGCTACTATATGGAGTTATCTAAAACACGGAGTATAATTTTCAAACATGTGATACAGATCGGTATACAACTATATGCTCAAATCTACCGTTAAACCCTTCGGGCTATATGGTAGATTTGATCACATACCATCCTGCACATATCTTTATCCCGAAAGATGTATAAAAATGAAACTTTATTACTTATAACTGTCTTATTGCAAATATTTGCACATATAATCTTAAACCATGAAAATGTTTTATTTAGAACTCGATCAAATCATGATATGGTACAGTATAAGTTAATCTGTTGAAAACATCAACATTTTATAACATCACTGAGAAATTATCATATCAACAGTTTGTGACTTTACAATGAATTTGTGTATACTGTGATAGATATGCTTTGCTCAAATAGTATTGTACTAATCTCTAAAAATCTTCTCGAGAGCAGCAAGGCCATGATTTGTCATATTTATATAAAAGCATTCTCAGGTAATTTAGATTTCAAGTTTTTTTTAAATCATGACCCTGGGGGGTAGTGTGGGGCCACAATGGGCAATCAAAGTTTTACATTAGGAATACATAGATAAAATCTTTTAAATCTTCTCAAGAACAACAAAGCCATGATTTGTCATATTTATATGGAAGCATCACCAGGTAGTGTAGTGTAACAGGAAAGGAGAAAATGTATGGCTAGCCTGGGAATTGAACCTGGGACCTCTGCATCACTAGTCAGGTGCTCTACCAACTGAGCTACCCAGGCCAATATCCACAGCCCAAACCATTACATTCCTCCCTCCTTAAATTGTCTTTGCCCTCGAAAACACAACCCAAGTTCTTATTAGCCCCTGGCAGGACTTTAACCTGCAAGTCCAGGGGTGGTCAAAGGCACCAAATCTGTAACAGGAAAGGAGAAAATGTATGACTGGACAGGGAATCAAACTGGGGACCCCTGCATCACTAGTCAGGTGCTCTTTCGACTGAACCACCCAGGCAGATATCCACAGCCCAAACCATTACAGCAGTATCAAGTTTGTTCAAATCATGACTCCCTGGGGGAAGGATGGAGCCACAATGGACAATCAAATTCTTTAATTGGAAATTATAGGGAAATCTTTAAAAGCTTTCTCAAGAACAGCAAGGCCATGATTAGTAATATTAATAGAGATTTACAGTCAACTTGTAGACAACCCGAATCCATACATGTCCAAGAACGAATTCGATGTCGATATCGACAATATCGACAATATTATCTCGATATCGTATCGATATCGATCCTGATCAGTATTACTAATTGGAAATATTCATATATGAGATTTGGTGCTATGTCGATGTCCTCAATATTGACAATACCATGACGATATCGTATCGATATGGATCCTATTTGTACAATTCATTTTCAAAATGAGGTATAACATAATTTTACAAGGCCACAAGCGATGTCGATATTGATTCATTATTGGCATGAATATGAAAATAAATAAGGATGACAAAGGGTTAGGGGTTGTTATTGCCTTGGGTTAGGTTTAAAGTAAGGTGTTGGGTTAGAATGAAAGTTAGTAAATATGTTTTTAACAATCATGATTCGATATCGATACGATATCGACAGTAGGGTCAACTTATTAACCAGAAAGTACATATGCACAAGTATTGCATTAAGAAATACAGAAGTTATTGTCTTGGGTTGGGTTAAAAGTAAGGTTTTGTGTTAGGGTGAAAGTTGGTAAAGATTATGTTTTTAATAAACATGATTTGATATCAATACGATATCGTCGATATCGACGATATCGATGGCAAGTACAATCTTCTAAAGGTAAAGTATTTAAATATAGACACACATACACATTAACAGGGACGGCACTTTCCAAGGGTTGAGCAAATATTATTCGATATCGCAGCGATATCGATGATATTGACACTACATGGAAAGTTTTATAAGTGATAGTTTTCAACATGTTCAAGTAACTCACATGTTAAAAAACACAATATTAAGGGTGGAAACCATAATCCTTTGAACAATCATGATTCGATATTGATACATCGTGGATATTGACAGTAAGGAAAACTTCTTAAAACAGAAAGTATTCTGTTATACACACAAGAATAGAGAAATATTATAGCAAACTATAAAAAAGTAATCTGTCGATATCGTAACTACATCGTGTCTTGGACATAACTCCCCGAATCGTAAACAAGGAGTCAACTTGTATTCAAAACTAAAGTGTACATTCTTTTTTCTACACAAGTTTTTCATAATGTAAAATGACTAAAGTAGTCAAATCACCAGAATATGAATTAGGGATTGGACTGTTGATCTGATGTTTTTATGTGCAATTTAGCAATATTAAGTTAAAAGCATTAGTATTTTTAATTTGCGATCGGTGCTTCTTGCAAAATTACAAGATAGTTGATTCCTCACATATATTTAGGAATCTACAATGCTTATTACCTCATCTGAGCTGAAAGCTCAAATGAGCTTTTCTGATCAACTGTTGTCCATCTGCCGGTCTGTTTGTCCATCAATCTGTAAATTTTTCACATTTTCGACTTCTTCTCAAGAACCACAAGGCCAATTTTAACCACAAATGGTACAAAGCATCCTTGGGTGAAGGAAATTTTAAAATTTTCAATCGAAGGGACAAGTACTATTCCAAAGGGAGATAATCAAGAAGAGGCAAAAATAGGATGAAGTCATTAAAAAATCTTGTTCTCAAGAACCATTGGGTCAGAAGAGATGAAACTTATGTGAAAGCTTTCTGAGGTAAAGTAGGTTCTAAATTATTAAAAACATGGTCCCCAGAGGTAGGATGGGGCCACAATAAGGAATAAAATTTTTACATTGAAATATGTAATAGGGAAAATGATTTAAAAATCTTCTTCTCAGAAACTGTTGGATCAAAAGAGATGAAAGTTATATGAAAACTGTCTGAGGTACCATTAATTCTAAATTGTACAAATCATGGCTTCCAGGGGTAGGGTGGTATTACAAGAGGGGATTAATGTTTTACATCAAAATAGGAAAAAATCTTTATAAATCTTCTCAAGCACCACTGGACCAGAAGAGATGAAATGTGAAAGCTTCCTGAGGTAGTGTAGATTCTAGATTGATCAAATCATGGCCCCCCAGGGATAGGGTGGGGTCACAATAGGGGATTAAAGTTTTACATGGGACTTTATAGGAAATACTTTTTGAAAATCTTCTTGTCAAGAACCACAATTGCACCATTCATATGCAAACATTGCCAAGTTGAATGGATTCTTTTTTCCCTACCAAATTATGTACCATGGGTTAGAGGTAGCTAAAATAGGGATCAGTAAAATAATGCACATATACAAGAAAAGAATTTTCATCTCTATTTCTACAAGGCCAAGATAATCATGTTGTGTGGATTCAGAGACCCTTAGAGTTTGAGTGGGCTTTAAACATGGGGTCACAATTTTTCATGGAAATATAAAAATCTTTTGGAAAATCTAAAGAGCAGATAGGGCTAAAATTACTCAAGTGAGCATTGTGGCCCATGGGCCTCTTGTAAATAAAATGATACAATTAAGTAAAGAAATTTATCCATTATAATAGTTACCAATTTAGAATGGGGGCAATAATTAAAATTGGGGAAATCTAATTTAGTTTGATAATTGATATTATGTCATGTGATGTATGGAAACTTTTGAAAGGGGGCGTGGCAGGAGAAAGAGAATTAGTTTCTATGGCAACAAACATCATGCCTTATTTTTGCTTATAGACCTAAAATACATATCTGCTTAGTTATATTTGCACAATGTAGTAAATTTTATCAATATCAGACCTTTTATTTCCAGCTGCATACTGTATGTGTACTTAAAAAAGCGGGCTTCATCTTTTAGAGGCTTTGGAGCAGACAAGGATGCGCTAATTCATGAATACCGCTAAGAAATCATTTACAAATGCAATATATGGCATGGGCATGTATAGCGCTAATTCATAATTTCGCCAACAACTCCATACCCAGTGATTGTGCTAAATTCTGAATATGCCAATTTATGTACATGTACAGTATATTGTGAAGTGTTTGATGGTACAGAAAATTGCATGCATGCTTTTAATATGCCTGGGTTGATATAAATTAATATGTGAATGTATTGATCTTTGCAGCTTTCCATCTTTCCAGTTCTTGGCTCTTGGTCAGGTAAGTGTTTCAGAAGGTTGACATTCCAAGATGATTTTCTTATTTCTGTGAAAAGAAAATGTATTGATGTTTGAAGTGACATAATGATTGAATTCTTATACATATATTACAATTAATGGTATGCAGGGTTTATAGATTTAACTTGAGCTGAATCTATCATCTATTTCAGATGACCACTGGCATTGTGATTCTACTCTTAGCAAAACTACTTGGTTTAGTGGAATTTCCTGGATTTTCTTTTGGAATATTTGTTAAAGTATGTTAATTTTAACTATAAATACAAAATAATAATATTATTGATATGTACAGTCAAACCTTGTAATCTCGAACTCGGTGAGACCAAGAAAAAACTTCAAGATATCTGTGGGTTCGAGATATTGAGGGTATAATACTTGAAGATAAAGGGCTTGGGACTTTCCAATCACTTCGAATATGCGTTGTATTCGATATATCCATGTTCAAGATACCGAAGTTCAACTGGTACTTGTTCTTGGTAATGGTCGTATGAGTGTGTGTAATGCTTTTGAGGTGTTTCTTACAAATTGTTTGTTGTTAGATTCTGATTCCCATTATAATTAATACAGGGAATCACAAAATAGGCCTATATTGTAAATGGTAACATTGATTCAGCATATACTAATATGCAGGTACATTTTTGTGCTTGCAATATAACAATATGTTTGCTCATTTTTTAATTGACAAAGGCTCTTCAAATGGAAGACTTGCTACAGTTAGTCAAATTTATATTCAACCATTGCTATTCATGTTGATCCTGTTCAAGTTATATACATGGATATATAGACAGAAAATATTTAAAATATTCCATGATATGCATCTACTAGTACATTTCGATGTATTAATATAGGGTCATTTTATAGCTTCTTTTTTTTTCTTCAAATGATGAAGAACAACAGATTTACACAATAGGAACTTGTATAACAAGAGGGCTTTGATTTACAAAATTGATATAAATCATCAGTATAGTTATGAACTGTATTATTCCTTTAAGCATTCTTGCCCCTATAAAAGCCCCCTAAAATATTTTCCTATTGTCAGTATTCATATGTTTGACCTTCTAGGATATTAGCATTTTGTCCTGATAAATTTGATCTAAAGCTATATGATTCTAATATGCATTTCCTTAATGAATATTTTTATACCAGTCCTAAACAATTGTGTATAATGCTGAACAGTTATGTTGATTTGTTGACATTCACATGTATTTACCAAAACTTATTAAAACACCTCTATTTTCTTTTACAGATATGGCCATTACCTATAATTTTTATTGGCAACTTATTGTTTGGTTTAGGTGGAACCAAGAAACTAAAGTTAGTAAGAAATCATTTTTTGAATAATATATAAATTACTAGCATTGCTGTTAAAAATCTGAGGTATTAATTGATACGATGATTTAACTACCTGAGGAATACAATATACAATTATTGCTGTTTTTTGAGGTCAATACGATGATTTAGACACCTGAAGAGTACAATATTCACCGATTATCTATTTTTGGTCCAATGTAGAATAAATAATTCCTTATATTGACCTGGAAATAATTCCTTACATTGACCTGGAAATAATTCCTTATATTGACCTGGAAGGTCATGTGCAGGACAATATAACGTAGTATTTTTCTAACATTGTTGGATCTCAGCCTATCAGAGAGATGGGAATTAATCAATCATATAATAAAATTCAGTATTAATGAGTAGTAGTTACCTGTCTCATCAAAAAGACATATATAGCCATGTGTGAAAACGGCTAGCTGGCTTGATGAAAAAACTTCATAAGCAGAGGTCTGTAAAATAAGTCCCTATTTATGAATTATGAGCAATTTATGAACTATTCATGTGGGTGAGAAATTCTTCAAAAATTACATTATATTAATGTATTATTATCTTTTACAGTTTACCAATGTTTACAATTCTAAGAAGATTTGCCATTCTCTTTACAATGATTGCAGAATATTATGTGTTAAAGTAAGTAGCTCATCTTGGTCAAACATGAGAGAGAGAGAGAGAGAATTCAGATAATGCAAAGCAAGTTTGTGCTATTTTAATAGGATTTATGATTGGACAATTCTTGTTTGTTAATTCAAGATATGTATAGATTTCATTTACTGGTAAAATGTTGAAAAAAAAATTTTCTTTAGTTTTTTCAAGATATTACTAATTTTTTAACTGAAAGAATTAACTGTTTTATTATACAAAGACTAAAATATATTTGGACAATTTATTTCTATTTTCTTAAGTTGGAAGAAGAAAAGAAAATACTGGAGTTCTACAATTTTTATAATTATATATCTTAGTCTGTTGATTTACGAGTCACTGAGAGTTATTTTGTCTTACATTTGTCTTATTTCCTGTCTGCATGCTTGAGCATGATGTTTTGTATTTTTTTTATCAGTGTAAAGGCACCAAGAGTGGTACAGTTTACAGTTTTTCTGATGATATTTGGTGCAATAGTTGCTGCCAGGTAAAATTAATGTAATATTAATGATATAAGGTAAAGAAATCACATGATATAATAATGATATATAACAAAGAAATCACATGATAATGATATATAACAAAGAAATCGCATGATAATGATATATAACAAAGAAATCACATGATGATTATTTATTAAATCTTGTAACAGTATGATCATTAAAATCTATAAAAAGTGTTTACTTAGTATAAAAGACATTTAAGGATAACTAACACAAACATTATTTCACTTCTTTGTTTTTGAATATTGATGAGAATTTTAATATATGGAAATATGCAAGATATGTTAAAATGAGAAGAAACAATTACATCAAGTTGTGTTTGCTGGAGAATTGTTTTCAGTGCCTTGAACTCTTCTGAGACATCAATTAAACATTGCTTTGAGAACATCCTGTTGTTGAATAGGTATTACTGGATACTATTCTCTATGGATGTTTTCTAAAATATCCTAAATTTGTCCAAAATATGTAAAAATGTATAGATGTATAGATTAGAACTCTTCACAAGAAGGTAAAAAAAATGTTTGTGTTATTTATCATTAATATGAGTGTATACATTTCTATGCCTTTTGAATAATCATATGATATATATATATATATATATATATATATATATATATATATATATATATATATATATGTTTGCTATAGTGATGACCTGACCTTTGACCTCACTGGTTACATCATGATTTTACTCAATGATGTCTGTACAGCGGCCAATGGAGTGTACACCAAGAAAAAACTGGAAGCAAAGGTAAACAAAAATAGCCACTAATAAACAAATTAGTACTTTAGAAAAATAACATAAATTGCAATCTACTCACTGGCAAACATTCCTTCAATTGAGGTTTTCTGAGCATGCAAATAAATTTTTTCTATGCTTGAACACAAATTTGAAGTTGATATTTTCTCAAATTTTGGTATAATATCATGACATACGTGCTACTAGAGCATTTCAGACTGATATATTATAAAAGCTTGTGTAGAAACTTCTTTTAAAATTTCTGGATGCATTTTATTGACACACATCCTTGCACTTTCACAAAGAAAAATACCAGTATATCCTTGATATTTAAGAAAAGTGGAAGATTGTGTATTAATTAAAAGATATTAAATAAAACTATAATCCAGAAAATCTCTAAAATTAGAAATGTGAGAAAGCAAAACCAACACACTGGTGTTGTCAGTTTGTGTTCAGTGATGAGTGCAGAGTTAAATTGAAAACATTAACAATAACAGAGCTTGTTCCCATGTTTACAAATACAAATGTTTGATGTAATGTTATTAAGAATAGTGTGGTCATTGAAATTTAAAACTTTTCATATACCTGTAAGTTCAATTCATTTAACTGAAGTTATTTTGTGATTAAAAATAGAAATTTAAAATTGTAAACAAAACTGCAATGCAACTGTGTCCAGGCCCCATCAAAATTATAAGAAAAATAAAATTTGAAATATTTTGTATAGGTTGATGTTAACAAATTTTTTCTTTCATATTTCAGGATCTTGGGAAGTATGGATTATTATTCTATAATTCCCTCTTCATGATTTTACCAGTGTTTGCTTTTGCTTTGTATAATGGAGAAATTGAAAAAGTAAGTGCATTCAACTTTATTCACTCAAGATGTCTCTAGTTCTAGAATATCTCATCTAATTTCTGAATTTAAAGTTGATATTAGAAAAATGGTCTAAATCAAAGAATGTATAGTGACAAAATAACAGCCTAGGTAAAGTGTGCAACTATTAACTACCGGGTATGACTTTTTAGCTCACCTCGACAAATTCTAGATGAGCTTATGCTATACCCTGGTGTTGGCATAAACATCGTTATGCCAGTTTAAGTTTTAAGAGCAAATCCATTCTCAAGTAACAGTCTTACCTGGACCAAACTTGCATGGATGATGCATCTAGGGATGCACACAGCCAGGTTTGCTTTGGATGCTGGATCTGACCAAATTTTCTGGGTGAGTGATCAAGTTAAAGTTTTAATTGCAGGTTAGTACCAGCGTACTTGAACCAAACTTGCATGGAATCCCTGGGATGATGCTTCTAGGGATGCACATTACTAGACATGCTTTGGATTGTGCATCTGACCTATAATAGTAGGGTTGATGAAACATTTAAAGTTTTGAAGCAGGTCCATTAAATTCTACCCAAATCAATCTTGCATGGATGCATCTAGAAATGCAAATTACCAGAACATTTATTTGGTGTGAGTCTTTGCCTCATATATAGAGGCATGTATAAGCTTTGTAATTTTTGATTACCTATGTACTGACTGTAATGAATAATTGTGTGATATTCTGTTTTCTGTGACAGGGTCTGGCTTATAAAGACTGGGGGAATCCATGGTTTCTGCTACAGTTCTTATTATCCTGTACTCTTGGGTTTATCCTGAACTACGCCATTGTTCTTTGCACACATCACAATTCTGCACTCACCACAAATATTGTTGGTGTTTTAAAGGTATGACCAAAATACATGTAGTAGAAACTGTCTTCTGTCTCATATTATTAATTTTGATATACCCTTGTATACAATTAAAAATTCAGTTGTTCTTTTTTTTCAAAAGAATTAATGCTCAAGTCATACAAAATTCACAGAGAACTATCAAAATCATGTTTGTTTATTATTAGTTCTACTTGTTGAACACCAGAAAAGCTTATGGTCGAATTAAAAAAAAAATGACCAAATGCATATTTATCAACCCACACTAAAAATACAGGCAATGAAAATAGATTTCTATGTCTCAGCATATGTCTTTAGATAGTGTCTAAATACCTGCCAAATATCTCATTGATATCTCAATTAACAAAAAAGTTATGCTCAAAAATGATGCTAAAATTGTCAGGAGTGCAACATCTTTTTGTGACATTTTGAAATTTCAATATTTTTTGGAGATCTGTGAAATAAAAAATAATGCTTCATGTTGAAAATAAAGACTTTCCTGATAATATTCAAAGTATTGAGCTTTAAATGTGGACTGTCATAACTTTTGTTTAATCAGGTTGTGGTCATGGCTGATGTTTAAAAAAATGTTATACCATGTCAGGAGTGCAACAGAAAAAATGTAGTGTTGCCAAAAAAACATCAGTTGTAAAATTCTGATAGAAAATTAAGACAAAAAAGAATTTTGGAAGTGTAAAATAATAACTGATATACATTTTAAAACTTAAAAATGTTATATAAATCACAAGCAGCATTAATGAGAGTCAAGTATATGTGCATACCCAAAAATTTCAGGAGTGCAACATTTGATGTTTTGCTCCCAAGCGTGAAAAAACTGTTATCATGATTATATGATTTTCTGATTTTTATTTTGGAAAATAAAGACACAAAGAACATTTTTACCAAATAGATTTATCAATTACAGGATCTGTCTGTGCTTCAGATCCATATTTCTATGGTCAGGAGTGCAACACATTTTTTTAAAGATTCAAGTTGTGTGACGAAAAGACTTCTATTCATGCTTAGAAGTATTCTCATTAATTAATAATGATCTTTTTGTATAATTTAATGCTAAATTATTGACAGTTTTATTATTAAAATCCTTCCTTTTTCAATTTTGTCAATTCAGATGTGTTTTTATCTTTTTTGTGATTTTTTTAATGAACGTTAAAAATAAACACACTAAAACATTGTCATAAAATTCAAGTAATTCCTCCTCAACTTCACTGAAACAACAGAACAAGTTCTTATGTAATTTTCACTTCACAATTCTACTTTAAAGGTCCCAATGCTTTTGGTCAGGAGTGCAACAAATATGTTAGAATTATAAATCATCCAATAAGAATAAAAAGAAAAAGTGATGAGTAGAATTTTTCTGGTGGGTTACTGTGTTTGTCTTCTAAAGGAAAATATGCTTTAAAATATATTTTATCTTCTAAATATACATTTAAGCTAGTTTTTTGGCATAGAATAGAGTATAATTCCAGATAAAATGTGAATTTTAAATACTTTCATCTGTTTTCATTATGAAGTATTGGACTATAAGTATTGCACAATTTCATTACCACTTGATGTTGCCAACACTTTATGAATTTTTGTGTTCTATGGTTTTTATTTTAAACTTTACTGCAGTCAGGAGTGCAACAAAACTGCTTCATAATTACCAATGATTTTTAACTATCTTTACTAAAAAATAAGTTGAAAAAAATGCTTGATACTATTTGATGTTCAAAACACTATGTCTATCAACAAATTACAGAAATTTTACAGTCAATTCAGGGAATAGTTTTCATCATTTCACATATATTTTAAATACAATTTATATATATTACACTTTGCAAATAATCATGTTTTAAGGTCTTCAAAATATGAAAAAACTGCTGTAAAAGATGAAAAATATCAACATGACAAATTGATTTACAAAGTAAGAATGGGTTATTGTGTGTTATAATTTTTAAAACAATGTTAAATAAAATACATATCAGATGTCAGCAGTGCAACACAATAATGTAACATAGGGTCACTTCAAAATCTAGTATTTTTTGTAAGAGAACTCGTATATAACAATTCTTTTTTGGCTTAGATTTAAAGAATTGACTTGAACGGACAAAAAAGTGAATTTTGGGGAATTTTATTGCTTCATATTTTTTTCATATTAAAACTTTTCAAACCAGAATTGAAAAAAAAAATGTAAAATAACAATCAAAAAGCCACTTTTTTGTCACATGTACAAGTGAAGATACTCATTCAAGGTCTAGATTTAATCATTTATACCCCTTTTACCATTTTGAAGCATAAAAAACTATAATTTCTTGTGATTATGTATTTTAGAAAGTCTTTTAAGGTGTAATGATATTTTCTTTTTTCAAAAGAAATTTTACCATTAAAAATTCTGAAACTTTTTAATCCAATTGTCTATTCTATTGCCACTTCAGGATTTTAAACTAGAATGCATTTGTAATATGATGATATAAGTGAAAAATATGTTATAAGTAGTTGAATTTTGCCAAAAAAATTCAGTTTGGTGGTCATTTTTTTTTTAATTCACCCTTATGCTTTCTTGGTCTTTTGAGGTTTTTTATGTTGTTTATGTTTAAATGTTAGCCCCCTTCAGCATTGAACTTGTTTCAGTAACTCTTTGTCCACATACAAGTTCAATAAGTTGAATATAAGACTGATTCTGTAAATATGAAGCTCAAGACAAAAAGTTCATAGTTTAATTTTGTAGAGCTACAGTCTCATCAGAAATGTCTGGCAGTGAAAAATAAAAGTATGCTATATCTGGATTCATTTATTTTCTTTACTTTTTCAGAACCTTTTGGTCACATACATAGGAATGTTTTTAGGTGGAGACTATCATTTTAGATGGATTAATTTCATTGGTGTAAATATAAGGTAATTATAACAGTGCCTTTAATACTGATTTTGAAATAATAGATATATTTTACAAAACATGTATCAGTAGTTCCATATGAACACTTTGTATATGTTTAGATTAGGGATGGCAATTGAGTATAAAATTGCCAATCGGTTAGCTGCAACACGTTCCAACTGATTAACTTATCAATGTTCATGGAGGGTTTTTTTTCTTCAATTGAATCTGAAATATTTTTTTTATGAAAATTTGTTCAAATATACACATTTATAATTCTCTTTGACTAACAGATTACAGATTTTGCAACCAATTACCATTATTCCAACCGAGTAACCAGTTATCCTTTGCCATCTCTAGTTTAAATTAACATACAAAAGTAGTAATTTTTAACTTCTTTTTTTTTTTCATTTACAAAAAACTAAGATTGTAGATTAAAGTTCTTCAGCAGTTTGTCAGAAGTATTTCTATCTTTATGGAGTGATTCAGTCTTTTCTTGTTAATATTAATCTGCTACATGTAATATAAAAATGATGATTTCTTGTATGCTATAATTTTAGTGTGGCTGGGAGTGTGATATACAGTTATGTGACCTTCAGAAAACCACCCACTGGAACAATAGAAATCAAAAAACCAGAAAAACCTGTACAAACAGTATAGTAGCTTGAGGCTATTTCTTACGTATACCTAATGCATTTATGTGAGGGTTGATCCAATGTCACTAGCCCTATATATTCTTTGATAATGGAAGTCATCAATAAAATTTTACATACTTATACCTCTATCCATTTTAAATGTTGCCTCAATTTTTCGTTCAGTTAGATATAATTTAATACTTTTTAAAATAGTTTCATCTGTCATCATAACATTACTGACGTCTTTTAACGTTTTACCCCGGTACTTTTCGGCACTCATTTTCAGCTCATCCACAAATCTATTACTGGTAAATCTTTTACATGCTTCTTAATTTTCATCCTTTTTAATTAATTTTCTGTTGTCCTGCTATAGAGTGTCTCACTTGATTGTTTTTAATTATTTGAGCTGTCCGTAGTTCATTTCCATATCCATATCGTGTGTACATGTAGTTTTCGTATATAGTAGGATTGAAGAGACTATGACATTAGAGGATGGTTGATTATCCGTTCACTTTCTTCTTCTGTTGCAATTTTTGAAAAAGTTGATGACCTGAGTAAATATCGAGACATGATGCCAGACTCTTTTACTACAAATTAGGAGAATAACTTTATAAAGATATAAAAGTTGCATGAAATACTTTTGTAAATTGAAGTCGTAGAAATATAGAGGGATGGGAGGGAGAAGGATTTGATAACTTCTAACGTCACTTAGTTTTGAAAGTTGGTGTTGTAGATTAAATGAAACATTTGTAACAGAGATTTGAAAGATTTGTAAATGTACCAAAACTTAGTGACAAAAAGTAACATCTAAAAGATGTTGGTAATGTGTCAGGCAGCAATAATCAATACCTGACATTATGTTTATCTGAATATTTTAAAAAGTATGACCATATATCTGAATGAAATTTTTAGGCAACAGGCAAAATAAGTAGAGGTACACGTACACAAAATTTTGTTGAAATTTTTCAACTATTTAAGATTTTATAGCAGGTTACGACATTGCTTTTGGATCAGCCATTGTACAACTGTTCACTGAGGAGGCAGGGTTGATAGTTTACGTATCTTGTGTACAATAGGAAATTCATATTAACAAGTAGATAACCATAACAAAAAATATCCAAGCTGTAATATACATGTGCATACACGTGCATACACCTGTTAACTTAAAGTCTTAAGAAATTCAATTACTATCAAAGCCTGTAAAATCATAATTTCTAGCTTTCAAGGAATTATAAGATTTGTAAAATTGCTTTGCATTGAAACTATATATACATTAGTAGTGCATCATAATAAAAACTACATGTGTAGAGAAAGATTTACATGCATAGTATGCAAGATACCAATATTCAACTGCTTCCTTAATATGTAAGATATTTAAATGATTTATACAAGAGTCTCTATTTTGAAATCCAATTTTTTCTACAAGTTATTGTAGCTAATTCGACTTGCCAAGTACTTTAACACAATTTGCCTGTCATTCTGGCTACTGCAGATCACCAAAATTTGGCGACACCTTATTTTCATGAGATGCTGTACATTACTTATTTTACGCAAGTACTTAACATGAAATGTTTCATAGTCACCAAAAAGCAAGAACATGAATTTGAGAGTAGACTTTTTATTAAGACATTACATGTATTTTAACAATATGAAAATAAAAGAGAAGAGTTTTTTTTTTGTGGGTGGTGCTTCAAATTAAGTGATAAATTCAATAATAAATAATTTGTATTTAGGAATCTACAGTAGTTATTTGGTATTCATAAGTGAGACAAAAATTTTCACAGGTTTTGTTAATTGTTATATATGATCTTTAATTGTACAAATATATGCGAGAATGAAATTTTTGTAAGGAGATAGTCTCACGTAATGTTCTCATGAAAATAAAGATCTTACGAATAAAGAGTGATTTGCAGTATCCAATTTAGTAACATGTACAATGTATTAGTACATGTAAACACACAGTTTAAATACTTATTAATTAACCTATAAATTGATTATCATTTGTGATATTATTATAATTTCTGTTTAACAAGGTTCTTATTTTCAATGTTCAAATACTTTGTTTATGTTATTTTTTAAATGTTTCTATAGTTATGTTGTATATGTTAAGCATATACATGTGGATTTTTATATCGGTGTCATTTGTTGTCTATTTTCTTGTGCAGCCAGGCAAACATTAAACCTAAGTGGGTATTATAAACATTTTTCTTAATTTTTATTGGGAATGGTGTAAGGGTTTTCTGTGTTTGTTGACAAGACAAAGATTCCTCAATTCAATCTTTATAATATTGTGTTTATGTTATCATTCCGCCAGCTTGAAAAGAGGGTGTATATAATGATTGGGGTGTCTGTCCATGCATCTGTACATGTATCTGTTATGCTTGGGGTAGTCATCCCTTATCTGCAACTCCTCCTATACAACAGAATAAAATTTAATGAGACTTTCACAGAATCTTTATTACATAGTGTCATTGTGTACCCTCTATTTTGCTTTTCTATCAGACTTGTATTTGGGGTTTCCCATTGTAAAACATGGACACTGTCATTCTTTCTATAATATTGGGGTACCCCTTTCTTATCCATAACTTCTCCTATACCACTGAATAAAATTTTATAAGACTTTCTGGGAATCTTTATTACATAGTGCCATTGCGCACCTTCTATTTTAAATTTTGATCGGACAGATATTTGGGGTTTCCCATGACAAAAGGTGCCATTATACTCGTATGGAAGTGGGAGGGGTCAATTTGTGAGCTTAGTGCTCACAATCCCTCCAGTTTTAATAGGTGATGGTGTTTATTTGTGGAGAAATGTAACCATCATTACTTTTTTGGGGGGTGGGTGGGGTGGGTAATCAATCAGTTTCCTCTTTCTAACCCCCCCCCCCACCCCCCGAATTTTATGCCTTCCTAATTAGCATGGAGTATTTTTTTTTTTGCACTGATCTGCAATAATCCTCATATACTAGTAGTTTTGAAATGAGGTGAAATATATACCTGTAGCATTAATTATCCCTGCTGTGGGACTACAGTTCATAGTCTTAAATAAGATTTAATTGTTTCTTAATAAGAACAATCATGTTTTTTTTTAGTGTAAATGAGCCATTGAAGAAGTAACCTAATTTAAACTTTAAAAAGTCTTTAACTCAAGAACAGCTTGCCTGTAATAAGGCAGCCCAACATGCCAATATTTTCATGTAGACTTTTGTTCAAGTCATACATTCTATAAATTTTAAAAATTCCTGCAAAGGAACAAAAAGTCTGGTACTACTTCTCAGGTCATGTAAGCAATCTCATGTAGAGTTGTTGTATACATAGGTATAAATATTTTTTTAAAAAAATAATATCATGGTTAGTACACATATTTTCATTTCTATGTTAGATTTTTGTGAAGAAATGATTTGTTTATTAAATTTCTACACATTTTCTGAACCTTTAGCAAATCTGTATTAGTGTGTCATAAGGAGAAATACCAAAAGTTGCCAGGCAATTAGTCATGTTGAAAATATATTATGTATTTATTTTAAAAAGTTATTTCACTTGAATTATAACACTATGTATTTATAATATTTTATTTGAGTATGTTTCTTTTTATATATTTTTTTACTGTATTGTGGGATTTATTCAATTAAATATGAAACATATAACAAGAGTTCCTTATGAACTTTTATTTGTGGTTACAGTACAGGTATCTAGAGTGGAGGCTCGTTAATACGGACTCTGATAATCCAGACACTTCAGCATCCAGGTGAAATTTGTAGGGAACAATTTATAATCATAACTACTAATTTAATTATGTTTCAATAATCTGGACACATCATTAAAGATAACACAATTTTTTTTTCTTCCAAAATTCAAATATGTTATCTTTGTTTAATTAAATAGGTGCCTCATTCACTAAAAAAGTGATATCTGTGTAACTTTATACTTGACCAAGCCACATACTGGTAATTTGGTGAAAAGTGGGAAAATGTAACTTTACAGTTCAATCTAATTTTTGAAAAGTTTTAGAAATGTATGAAGTTTTCAAGAGTCTATTTTTACACAATATATTTTACTCAATTAACATTTTTTAATTAGGTTTCCATTGAAAGAAGTATTGAAAAAAAGCAATGTAGCTCTTTTAATGTGGGAGATAAGAAAATTTAATTGTAGTATACATCGACAATTTGCTCAAGAACACAAATGATCTGATCAACAAGGACCTATACATTATTAAGTTGTAATATACAGTTGAACTTCAGTATCTGGAATACCATGGATATGTCAAAATCATTTTGAGGTCCCACTACTTATTCCTTAAGTATTTTACCCTGGATATCTTGAATCCTTGGTCATCTTGAAGTATTTTCTCGGTCCCTTTGAGTTCAAAATAACGAGGTTTTACTGTATTTTCAATACAGTAAGTATTGAAAATATTGTGGGAAAAGGGGGATGGGATCTTCAACATTTCACAGCTATAATTTGGAGACTTGGGATCGGATCATCTTACCTTTCAAGTTTAAAGGGATCAAGAGAATATTCTGCTTTCATTATATTTTGACACCCCCCCCCCCCCCCCACACCCCCACCATAATACTAGTATCTTGAAGCTTAAGAATAAAACTTTTGTACACCATTTGTACACCCCTCACCAGCCACCACTGTTAACAATGAAATGTGAGTAAGTCAAAAATTTCACATCTATGATTTTTAGGCCACCTAACTCACTCACGTTACCTACTGCTATCTGTTTTTGTCTATCAACTATGTGTTGGTAATACACTCATACATTTTCAGCTTCTCAGCTAAAACCACTGAACCAATTTCAATCAATTTTGACATACACCATTTATGGGCAAAGGGGAACAGAACTTTTGAATATCATGGTTCATGCCCCCTTGAGGCCTAAGGGGTGGGGCTAAAACCATCATATTTATTGCAATCTTGAAAATCTTCTTTGCTTCTGGACATTGAACAGTCAAACTGTTGGCATGATTGTAATAAGCATTGAGCCCTCTACCAAAATTGTGAAATTCGTGGCCCCTGGGTCAGGGGTTCTGGAGTAAGGGTGGGGCTCTAAAGATCAAACAGTAAAAGTGCATTTTTGCTTTCAAAATATTCTCTGTTCCTGGGTACATTGTATTTAACAGATAAACTAAGTGCATGTCATGATGATCAAGGGTGCCTTTTCCAATGATTGTGAAATTTCTGGCACCAGGGGCAGGGATTCAGTTATTGGGGGATCTATTGATTTTATGGTGAAAATGCATAATTTCTTTGAAAGATCTTCTCTTCTTCTTGGTATTAAGCAAACAATCTAAATGCATTGTTGTGAAATATGGACACTTTTGTGGGCCGGAGAATGTTGTGAAATATGGACACTTTTGTGGGCCGGAGAATGTTGTGAAATATGGACACTTTTGTGGGCCGGAGAATGTTGTGAAATATGGACACTTTTGTGGGCCGGAGAATGTTGTGAAATATGGACATTAGTACTTTCTTAATTTACCTTGATTTAGCATGTTTAATTAAATGACTTTTACTGAACTATGACGTCATAATGCTATGACGTCATAGAGGTGGCTATGACATTATGTATACAACAAGAGGAGTTCAAAATAAACCACTATACGATACAGAGGTGTTTTACTTAAGCTACATTCCTAACATTGGTGCCGTGACCAAAGGGGAGTTATGATTTCAAAACTAAGAGCAGTCCGAGCAGGACAGAGAAGTGCAGTAACTAGACTTTTGAAAAGACTGGATGAGGAAAACACAGATTCAGAGGATATTGAAACAATTCTGGATACACTGACAGAAAAGCAAGAAGTTCTCAGAGATCTTGATGAAAAAATCTTAACAGAAACAGCAGAGGAGGAAACTGAGAAAGAAATACTGGAGACAGATGAGTACAATTTGAATCTAAATTCTAAAATGCGGAAATTTAAAAAACAACTGTTAGTACAGAAATCAAGTTTAAATGCAACTGCCACCAGTTACTCACACCACAATGAGAATTCGCAATTCGGAGAGAATGGTCAGTCATCACATAATTTCAGTGAAAATTCCAGAGCTATAAGCTTTCATTCTAATTCCAATTCCAGTAACAGTTCTAACTTTCACAAATTACCAAAACTGAACTTGCCTATTTTTGAGGGAAATGTGTTGGAGTGGCAGTCATTCTGGGATTCATTTGATTCAGCTATTCATAGCAACAACACGTTGACTGAAGTACAGAAGTTTAACTATTTAAAGTCGTTAGTAGAGGGAGAGGCATCAAACACCATTGCAGGATTTGCACTCACACATTCCAATTACAACAGAGCGATTGAACTTCTACACGAAAGGTTTGGACAAAAACACAAGATAATTCAGTCCTACATGCAAGCACTTTTAGAACTACCTGCTCCCAAGAATAATCTCACAAGCCTTCGTCATTTTCATGACCAAGTGGAGACATATGTCAGAGGATTGGAATCCTATGGTCAAGCTCAAGAGACATATGGTTCACTTCTTGTACCTGTGATTCTTAATAAATTACCTAGTGAATTACGCAAAAATTTGGCTCGTGAGCATGGATCCACCAATTGGTTATTAGGTGACTTGAGAAATAGTCTTTACAGGGAACTTGAAATATTAGAAGCTGGAGCAAGTATTGATGCAACAGAACCAAGCGCAACAGCTACCTTTTATACCCACTCAAAGTCCAGTAACAAGCAACTTCAACGTAACTCTAGTCCTAGGAAACCTCAGGTATCCTGTGCATTTTGCAAGGAGTCACATCGTTCAAATGATTGTACAAAATACAAAAATTTCAATGACCGCATGAGAATCGTCAAACGAGACAAGTTATGTTTTAACTGTTTAGGCAGGCATCGTGTTGCAGATTGTCAATCTAAATTCAATTGCAAAACTTGCAAAAAACGTCACCACACAAGTTTGTGCTCAAATCACGAGGAAGTCAAACCCATTAAGGAGAGTATCCCTTCATTTCAATCAAAGATTACAGAAAGAACTGAAACATCAGTGATGCACTCATCTTCACATAGAGATCAACCAAATGTTTTGTTACAAACTGCAGTTGCTCCTGTCACATTTGGAAAACTAACAACTGATGCTAATATTCTGTTTGATGAAGGAGCTCAAAGATCATTTATCTCTAGGAGTTTGGCTGACAAGATAGAATTAACACCAACAGGATACGAGGATATCAACATTCTTGGATTTGGGGATTCAGGAAAAGACAAAAGAGTTCAAAAGTTACAGACAGCTCTAATCAAGGTCCAAACTATACAGAGAGAAGAAATACCTGTCAAAGTCTTGGTGGTCCCGGAGATAGCAGCTCCAATTAAAACGCATGTAGAGACTGCAGCAAAATTATCGCATTTAAGGAATTTGAGATTGGCACATCCTGTTGCCCAAGATGATGCATTCCAAATTGAATTACTTATTGGAGCAGATCAGTACTGGAATTTGGTGGAGGATGAGATAGTTAGAGGAAAGGGTCCAACAGCCATCAAATCCAAACTTGGATATTTACTTTCCGGACCATTATATGGATCACAATTCCATGTAGTTGAATACAACACATCAATGATGAATGTTATGGTGTCACACAAAATGGAGGAACACAATATTGAGAAGTTTTGGCAGATTGAGGCAATTGGATCTGAGAAAGAGTATGAGGAATCAAGTAACCAGGATTTTCACCTATCATATGAGAAGGATTCCATACGATTTCAAGACAATCGCTACCATGTAAGGCTCCCATGGAAAGAGGACCATCCTACATTGCCCTTAAATAAAGATAAAGCATACCATAGAACGGTCAGTGTTATAAATCGCCTCAAAATGGAACCCAAAATGCTAATCAAATATGGGGAAATAATTGCTGAACAGGAGAGACGCGGCTTCATAGAAAAGGTAGACAGCAAACTTCCAACAAATCGTAAAGTTCACTTCATACCGCATTTCCCAGTAAAAAAGGATTCAGTTACAACTCCTGTAAGGATAGTATATGATTGTAGCTGTCATGAAACGCCTAACACTGCATCTCTGAATGATTGTTTAATGAACATCCCACCACAATTGAATGATATTGCTTCGATATTACTAAGATTTCGTCTCAACAAATACGCGGTGACAACAGACATCGAAAAAGCATTCTTAAATGTAGGATTAGAAGAGGAAGACAGAGATGTTACAAGATTCTTCTGGTTTGATGAACCCACAAATCCTAATGGACAGTTAGTGAACTACAGATTTAAATCTGTCTTATTTGGAGCTACTTGTTCCCCATTCATTTTAAATGCTGTTCTGATGAAGCATTTAAAGGAGAATGCATCTACATGGACACAGAAGTTAACAGAAAACCTTTATGTTGACAACATAATTTCAAGTTTTCCAACAGAAAATGAATTAATTTCATTCTACAACTGCTCTCGTACTTTGTTTGCCAAAGCTGGATTTAACCTTCGATCATGGGGATCAAACAGTGAAATCCTACAAGAGCATGCTAAGAAGGATGGAGTGTTAGACAAGGACAGTGTTGTCAAAGTTTTAGGAATGAAATGGAATGTCAAAGAGGATACTCTAACCTTTGCTAAACAAGAAATAGCCAACACAAAGAAAAACACTGTAACAAAAAGAGAAGTGGTGAAACAATCTTCAAAAATATATGATCCTTTAGGATATATTAGCCCGATAACAGTCAAGGCAAAGATGTTTATTCAAGAGTTGTGGAAAAAGAAAATAGACTGGGATCAAAAACTGCCACAGGAACTAGCTGACAAGTGGATTGAAATTGCACAGAACACGGAAAAAGCTACCTCCTTGGAAATACCTCGTATGTGTATTCATGAAAACCCACCAGAAACGACTGTACACATTTTCAGTGATGCAAGCATCAAGGCCTACGGAGCATGTGCATACATTGTTTCAGGAGACCAAAGTTCACTAATTATGGCCAAAAACAGAGTTGCCCCATTAAAAACACTTACAATACCTAAACTGGAATTAATGGGAGCATTACTTGGAGCTAGATTATTAAAATTCATCAAGAAAAACATCCAGTTTTCAGAAGCAGTCTTATGGACAGACAGTCAAATTGTCTTGAGCTGGTTGGAAACAACAAAAACTTTGGGTACATTTGTGAGGAACAGAATACAAGAAATCAAGAAGTTAACTGAACAGTACAAATGGAGATACTGTCCAACAACCTCAAATCCTGCTGATATTTTATCTCGCGGTACTGACTTCGACAGATTTAGGAAGAATGAATTGTGGTCAAAAGGACCAACTTGGATTACTGACACAAACAAGTGGCCCATATATGACAAAACAGAAAGTCATATTCTTGCAAACATAACAGAATCTGAGAAATGTGGATACCAGGAAGAAGACTCACAAGAAAAGAGAAACGTCAAGCTTGGCGCCAGAGAACAAAAAATTTCAGAAATTATTGATATCTCAAAGTTTAACAATTACAGAAAATTGTTGAATGTTACCTCTTATGTCCTAAGATTCATACAAAACTGTTCCAAAAAACAAAAAGTTACAGGTCCACTGACAGTCTCAGAAATTGAACAAAGCTCACTGATATGGATTATAAATGCTCAACAGAAAAACTATCCAGATATTTTTGGAGAATTACAAAGAGATGGAAAATCTAAAAATTGTCTATCAAAACAACTGAAATTATATCTAGACAATGAGGAACTGATCCAATGTGGAGGGAGAATACAAAATGCACCAATCAGCAAAACAGCAAAGCATCCAATACTCCTACCGCCAAATGATCAACTGACCACATTGATTATTTTAGATGCACATAGAAGAAATTTGCACTCAGGTGTCAATAGTACAGTCACATTGTTGAGACAGAATTACTGGATACAAAGAATTCGCCAGAGTGTAAAATCTGTATTGCGAAAATGCATTACATGCAGAAAAATCATGGGAAAACCTTATCCTATTCCAGAAGCGCCGCCTTTACCTAAAGACAGATTGAGAGAAGAACCTCCTTTTACTGTAACTGGTGTGGACTTCACTGGTGCCCTGAAGGTACGAAAAAAGAATGGACATGAAGGCAAAGTATACATATGTCTTTTCACATGTGCTAGTACAAGAGCTGTCCACCTGGAACTGGTAACGGACCTCACTGAAGAACAATTCATTTTAGCCTTTAGAAGATTCTCCAGCAGGAAATCACTTCCAAAACTTATGATATCTGACAATGCAACCACCTATGTTGCTTCTTCTAAGGAAATTGAAAAGTTAACATCTTCACACAGTCTACAAGAAACCTTAAACACCCATGGTACAAGATGGAAGTTCATACCTAAGAGAGCACCCTGGTATGGCGGATTCTGGGAAAGACTAATAGGACTCACAAAGAACTGCCTAAAGAAAGTACTGGGACGATCCTTTGTGAATTTAGATGCCCTAAACACAATCATTGTAGAAATTGAATGCATTCTGAATGACCGTCCTCTAACGTATGCATCAGCCGACCCATTGGATGAAGACCCGTTAACACCATCTCATCTACTATATGGTAGGAAAATCAGGTCATTACCTTATCCTGGGAGTTCTATTGATGTACATCTAACAACTGATTTGAACCACTCATCTGCAAACAAAGCGTACAATATTCAACAGCAAACTATTCAACACTTTTGGGAACGTTGGAGAAAGGAGTATTTAACGTCCTTGAGAGAATATCATCGCATCCATGGAAAAAATAAACAAAACATTCAGGTGGGGGACATAGTTCAAATTTATGATGAGAGAATGTTGTGAAATATGGACACTTTTGTGGGCCGGAGAATGTTGTGAAATATGGACACTTTTGTGGGCCGGAGAATGTTGTGAAATATGGACACTTTTGTGGGCCGGAGAATGTTGTGAAATATGGACACTTTTGTGGGCCGGAGAATGTTGTGAAATATGGACATTAGTACTTTCTTAATTTACCTTGATTTAGCATGTTTAATTAAATGACTTTTACTGAACTATGACGTCATAATGCTATGACGTCATAGAGGTGGCTATGACATTATGTATACAACAAGAGGAGTTCAAAATAAACCACTATACGATACAGAGGTGTTTTACTTAAGCTACATTCCTAACATGCATAGTTATGATGAGCAAGGGTGCAACTTTCCAAGATTGTGAATTTCATGGTCCCTGGGTCAGGGGTTCTGGTGTTAGACAAGGTTCTATGGATTATATATTGAAAATGCATTAATACTTTGAAAATCTTCTGTCCTGGGTATTTAGCAGATAAACTGAGTGAATGGATATAATGAACAGTGGTGTTTATTCATAGCCCCTGGGTCAGGGGTTTTAGTGTTAGGGCTAGGGTCTGTTGAATGTATGTATAGTGAAAATTTATTTATTTATTTATTTTTGAAAATCTGCTGCTATTCCCTAGGTATTTAGCAAATATACTTAGTGCATGGTTAGGATGAGCAAGAGTGCCTCTTCCAAAAATGTGAATTTCTCATCCCTATGGTCAGAGGTTGGCCAAGTGGCTCTTGAGAAGAAGTCCAAAATGTGAAAAGTTTACAGATAGATGGATGGGCAGACAGACACCGAACAGGTGACCTAAAAGTAACAAGTAGAGAGGAAATTGCTCAGATCAGACCACGATTTGCACCGGGGCCTTCTGGACTCTTGACAGATGTCCTCCAAAACCTGTCTGGTCAACGGAGGAAGAACATTTTGGCCACCCCAACAGCAGTCCCTCACCTCATTACCAATACCATAGTGCTTATAAATGAAACTGATAATGACATAAATAAATATTGTTTTATTGGTATACATGGTGTACAATGCACAATCTCATGTGTGAATAATTTACACACAAACCCGTTTTTGAATTTTTTGCAGTAAAAACAGACTCTTAAAACAGAATCATAGAATAAAATAATAATGTGCATTGTATAAAAACACCATTTGCCTATGATAAATACATATGCATACATACATACAATGCTATAAATATCCATACTGAATATTGTACCTTAATTTAAAAAAAAAATTCTTGGATACCAAGAAGAGCATGCAGAAGACTATTAAAAAAAAAAAAATCAATTTCGATCATACATACTGTTCAACTTTAATACAAGCCAGCCAGTCATTACTATGATTGCCAAGGATTCCATGATTTTTCATACATGGTATTAGAATATTAAAAGAATTTTAATCGATTTAAAAAAAAAAATACATGGAAACTACTGATATACTACCAATTCAAGAATGTTTGTTAAGAAAATTATAAGGTACTTGAGTCAACACCTTGATATGGTACTACTTTCATAATGCATATTACTACACTTCTCTACAAAAATATCCCTTATAATATATGCAATTTTTTGAAATCAAACAATTGTGTTTACAATATTCAATGATCAAAGGTATTGCATCCTGTTTTTACAATGGTTATCTTTAAAGAGAGGTTTAAGAGCCACTTATGAAAAAAAATATAATAGATACACAATTTTTTCAAATTAAAATAGAAAAAAATAAAACCTGACATTTTCAAATGGAACAAAGTAAATAAATACATTTTCACCCTATAAAACACAGCATTCACATTTAAACCCTATCAATATAAATCAACAATATTTCACATATACCTTGATTGTTTTACCTGAATGTGGGCAAGAAAAATAATAAAGTTTATACAGTTACTTGTTGAAAATCTATATCAAAATCTAAATGTATTGAGTAACTATGCTTTCAACCATCTATATATATATACATATTTATGAAATTTAAATACTAATATAGATTTATTCATAAGAAAAAAATGTAGTTTTGTTGCTACATGAAATACACAACTGTGATCGTAAAACATATAAATTTCACAACCATTATAACAATCTAGATCAACAGAACTTATAAACCATGATACAACAATCTAATCATTCCATGTAACAGTATAAAAATAAAATACATGTAGTGTCACACAGAAGAAATCAAGAGTAAATTGACAATAAAAAGTTCTATAAAATAACCCCCCCCCCCCCCCCCCCAATAAATCCATGCATTGTTAATGAGCTCTGAAAGGGGCTGAATTTCATTTCCGGACCTTTCTAAAATATTGAACTTTTCATTTCCAACATTTTGTAGATTTCATTTGTAAACGACATATTTTTAAAGTTTTCATCTCTGACATTTATCATATATATAGTACTTTTCCATTTACCCTGGGGCATATATGTAAGTGTTGCAAACTTTCTCTCATCTCATCTTCTATAATAGATAATATCTGAAAAATCAAAGTACTGAAAGACAAGGTTAAATTCATAAAGTTCGTGATTTTATAAACTTCATAACTGTTGTAGATTTTTATACAGTTTTGATACTCACTTTTTTTTAAAATTATAAATTGAAATGAAATATTGCAACAAAATATTAGATTCATTCTGTATTAGATTTATTTATACTTGAGGAACCTTAAAGCATAGTGTAGTGAGCAAAATCTGCATTCATTTCATAGTGTAGATTTTGTTTTAGCATATGACTGACAGTAAACTTATAGACAAAGTCTCATATTGCGCCCCTCTTATGAGAGACTATAGGAATTGGTTAAGTCTTTATGATTCACCAATTCTATTTTATCATTTTTTGATCAATTTATTTTTTTTTTAAATTCTTTACTCAATTAAAAATTGCTCCACAGACATTATGCTTTTAAGTAAATGTATTAAAAGCAGTACTTTGTGTAATTAAAACCAAGATTTAGCAAGAGCCCTGTACAATTTCTTTCACAATTCTAATCTAGGGTGGGCTTTGAGAAAGACAATTGACAAGACTTTTGGGGAAATTTTGCAGGTGGGACCAGAATGTTTGGGTTAAATATAAAAATGATCCGCTTGTAATTATATATACAGTGTATATTATAAAAGATAGCCAAAAAATGCATGAGTTATCTTCCTTATCATATCTTCTCATCAGCTGTCTAAAATAAATATTGACTTGGTATATTCCATTAATATCTATTTATGTACATTCCACATACCTCACATATGAAATGTATATGAAAAAATTATGATGGTTGCATGATACAAGGTAGGGCCTGAAAAAGTGTTTTGGTTGCCTTCTACAGTCACACCCCTGACAGACAGACTGATAAAAGTTTCTGCTCCAGTTTGCAGGCAAAACATGACAAAGACTGACATATCCAGAGTAAATTCTGTAAGAATTTCTGTTCCAATAGCACATTAACTTGTTATGTCAATTAACCAATGGTAGGTATTCAACAAGCTTCTGTACATACCGGTACATGTAAAAACTAAAGGTTAATTACATGGAGTGTACTTTTAACATCAAGGTGTATACCATAAGAAAATTTCCAATTGTACATGCAAATATTAGACTAAGTACATGTATATTGAATTCAACAAATTCAATTTTGTCTGCATACAGACAAAAAAAATATAAAAGACAACATTACTTGTAAAATGTCAAAGATTGCAAGAGGTTCAAAATTACAAAGATAACCTGAAAATTAATGTAGATATATCATTTCCTGAAGTGCAATCAAAGCTGAACAATAAAAACAAAATTGAAAACTCCTAACATTTTGGCAATATGAAGTCTTGACATATTTCACGTAAAGTTTATAATATGACAGAGTAAACATCACAACATTGAATATTGATCAATCCTTAAAACGGATTTAGAATCTGCTGCCTATGTTAACATTCTAAGAAAAACTAATGCACCTTCTCCCTAACTGTCTGACGTCTTTCAACTCTGAACAGAACATATATAAAGCAGATACTAATTCACCCACACATCAGTAGAGGTTTAGAGTTATAGGGACTCCAACAGTGAAGCTAAACCTTTGGCTAAGGTGATCCAACTCTCAATGTGTACTCATTTAATAATGGTAATAAAGTTCTTAACACAAACCTACAATATGGGTTATACCGGTACTGTAAAAGTTAAACAACACTTTGTATCATTAGATTTTGTTTGAACTTGAGCATAAAAAATCCTTGTCCTTAATGAAATTATTTTCAATAATGTTATTATGGTTAGTAAGCTGAGATTATTTTGTTTGAACCATGTAAGTCTTGTAACAATCTATTTCAAACAAGTGGTAATATTTTTCTTCTGGGTGAAAAGTTTCATGCTTGATGATTGACATCACTTACCCATTCTTAAAATCCTCCAATTTAATATCTCAGTGACTGATTAAACTTAGTTCCATATAGGTATGTCACTTTTACTACTCAATCATAGTGACCAAATTTGTACCAGAATGGTACTTATTTCATTAAGTGATGAGTAAAAGACAAGATCACTGATGGGTATCTGATATTGTACAAATTATGATCAATGGTGGGGGGGGGGGGGGGGGGGGGGGGGATTAGCTTAGCCCCCCCTTTTTTTGACAAAGATGTATAGCATTAATGAATGACTAGGCCACCTCCCTCTCACAAAAAGTATGTTCAACAGAATTACCCTTCCCCCTTCTAATTTTCTCCAATGCTTCTGGTTTATAAAAAAAAAAAAACATATACATGTAATTTGTATGAACTTAAGGGAGCCGACTGGGGTTTTATTGTGTGAAAACTACTATAAAGAAACTCTTTAATTTTATACCATATGAACCTTATATTGACTTCAGTATACATGCCAAGTTTAGTGAAAATCTACCGTCTGGTTATTTTGTAGGGACCATCTCAAAATACAGGTACATTTACTATAGGATTATATAGGAAAACACTACTTTTTCACACTTCGGAGCAAATTATACAAATACTACTATAGACTTTTTGTTCAAATTATATTATTTGAGGGGTAATACTATATTGTACATTTTAATTGAAGAAACACAAAATTCTACCATCTGGTTTCCAGAGGGGGCATCTCAAAATGTCAAAATTCATGATATTTTCCTGTTTTTATGGAGTACAACAAAACATGACAGATACCACAGATTTACATAAAAAATAATTAAGATGATTGTGAGATTCTCAATTTCCTATGTTTAAAATTTCAAGAGCATCTATTTTATACTTTTTATTTTATGACAGAATTAATGACCCCACTTAAAGAACTCTGGTTATTCATAACGTCAAAAACACACTATTACGACGTCTATCTACCCATCATTTGAAAAATCGTTTAAAAAATCAGTTATTTAAAAACGTAATTAAATTTTTTTACCGAAATTTCCTAAATTTGTTAATTTTTATAAATTATGAAAAAATAGTTGCTTTAAAAGAGTAAATACGCTTTATTTTACTATGCTGCGCAAAATTTTGCGCAATGAAAACCCCAGTCGGTCCCCTTAAGATTGACTTCTCTACACCCAGCAATTTTCTTTTTTCTGTTATACATCTACTTCGAAAAATTGCAGCTTAAGCTTATCTTAAATCTATTCACTTTCTTAGCTCATTGTCATCAGCCTGCAGAATTGAAAGTCAGAAGTTCAAATCTGCTACTGTAGTTTTAGTATATTGTGTCCCCCCTTCCCAATATTTTCCTCTCTTTCCATTTTTTTGGGGAAAGTTTCAACTACATTAACTTCATGAAGTTAAAAATTCTAAACAGATAATCTTCAGGTGACAAGATTTTCAAGAGTACACGGATTATTGTTTTCATGTTTTTTGTATGTTCAGGTAGATGAGCAATGTCAATCATTTTCTTCTCTAGCACTGGGCATTATCAAATATTGGCACTGTTATTCACAGACAAGCATAAAACTTTTCACCTTGGAGGAAAATTTTACCAATTGAAATCGAATGTACATGCAGAGGTAACAAATGAATATAAATCTATCGTATATATGTGTATTTTATATTACCCAAATCGAAAAAATGTGAGCATATGATTAGGAGTGAGCTACTCTAGTTCAACAAGGAATTCTGGTACATATCATATGGCATTAAAACAAAAAATCAAATTGCATATTTTAGGTATTATTGCCTACAGATCAAATGGAATCTCAAAAAATCCCAATGCAGAAATTTGAAAGCTACCTTAGAAGGATATTCCTGCAAAAATTTGAAACTGCAGAAAAAATGCCTGTTACTTGGTATTATGATTGTTTACCAATAAAAATAAAGGAATGCCATTAGAACTTTTAGTTTTGGAAATTCATCCTAAAGATCTTCTCCTTGTTTGTTTGGGCCACTTAAATGTTTTGCCAACCAGCTGGAAGAATTGCTGGTTGTATGGTTCAAAAAACTTGTTTAGCTGATCCTCAACTTCAGGGTCAATCTTAGGATGGGGCCGACCCTTAGTCCTGTTAAGACATTTATGATCACCATTTTCTTTGTTGATGCAGTAAAAGCCTTTCTTTCTGTCATACACAAAATGATCTTCTTGGAGATAATGCCTAAGACCTAGAAAACTCTCCACTTTTTCCATTTCCTCAAATGGATGCAGCACCAAATTGTCACCATCAACAATGTGAATCTGGTTCAATGGAAACTGTTTTAACCATCTTTTGGTGTGTATGTAATACAGGGAGCGATTTATTGCTTTGTAATGAATTTTCACTTTTCCTGTATCTGAGTTTATAGCCAAGTCCTCAAACTCTTTCATTTCCATACCTTTCCTATCTCTTACTTCTTTGATCTGAGCATAATCAGACACAGCTCGATATAGTGGATCTCGCACAATCAACAACAACTTGATGGATGAGTTCATCATTTTGACTCGATAAGGTGTGTTCCAATCCAAAAAATAGTTTGGGGACTTTTCTATAGTCAGCTGCTCTTCAAATGACTGAGGCATTCTCCTACGATACCAGTCTATTCCTTTGCTATAATTTTCATTATTATCAAAGAAATGGATTTCATCGGGAGCAACTTGTATATCTGGATGAATCTTCAAAAACTGCAGCAAGGCCCTTGTTCCACCTTTTCGTACCCCAATGATGATGCAATGTGGGAGCCTCCTTTTGGAATGTGCAATCTTCAAGTTCTTCTGAAGATGATCTAGTCTATTCTGAAGTGACCCAGTAAACTGTACAGTGCTGTGATCTGTGCAGACCTTGGACTGAAAGTTTCCACCAATGCAGGCAACCAAGACAAAAGCCATTGACAAGATCAAAATAAAGACAGCAGCACTGATGTTTTTTTTGGTGAGGTATGAAGACAAATAGGCACAAAAGGAGTTCTTTGTTGACGTCTTCTCTGTTTCATCAAGAGGTATAGCTGTATATTTATTTTTATTAAAAATCATGCTCTGGAAAAAAAATAACTTTTTTATTGAACTGGGTTAATCTAAAAAAAATTAAAGCAACATTAATTCAGAAAAACAAAGAAAGAACATCTTTTTTGTTTCAACAAAATAAATTTAATCAGCATTGATCAGTTTATCATGAAACAAGAGAAAAAAAAAATCTTATATTTATAGAATAGTCTATGATTCTTCAACTGTTGCAATCTAACTTTCCTTATTTGGATATATGCACCAAATCAACTGCTACCTGTTTATAACTAATTAATATTCAAGCTTCAAGCTGAACATTTAAATGTGAATTGATATCAAACTCTGAGACAAACAAGGATATTTCAAGAGCCACTAAACAGTCTGATGCCCTACCCCCAGGGGCCATGATTTGAACAAACTTGAATCTACACTATGTAATAAAGCTTTCACATAAGTTTCTGATATCTACTGAGTTTTTAGTGGTCTATGGGTAAAGCAACAAAAATAAAATAGACATGAATATACAAATTATCTGACTTGACAGAAATGAGCCAATTTTATGTCACCATCCTCAAATAAGTAAGCTCATACATCCTGCATTTGGAAGAATGGTCCAATAATCAAACATTAATGAGCAATATGCTTAGATAACTTCAAAAGGGGGGAAAATTCTCTGACATTATCAGATTTTTATATGCTCATTCAATATTCATATCAGAAATGTTTCATAAATTTATCAATACTGTCTCAAATTACCTTGTAAATTATGTAAAAACATTTCCTTAATGATAGCATTATGTAATTTGGGTTTCAAAAATATTGGAAGTATAATATTTTAAATGACAATGTAATAACATGAAATTGTGTTTAAACTTAGGATTTTCATCTTTCAATCAAGTATAAAATGTTTTATGTATTGCATGATAATACCAGAACTAAGTTTCTCAGACAAAACAGACAATAAATATTGAAGAATCAGTTTTGAGTGGCTGTTGATTTCAGAGTCAACATAAGTTAAAATTCTCTTAAAATCTTGCTACAGGGAATTCTGTGTCCAAAGACTTATTCTTAACCAGCTGCCATTCCCAACAAATTTAAATGGAATTTGTATGACTTGTGAATGGCATTAGTGTTGTTTGTTAGAAAAAGATTTGTCAAGAGCATTAGTAAATTCCATTTGACATGATACTTTTTATTTTTTTTAAATTCACAGAATTTTCGAAATAGTTAATAGTCAGACATATATTACTGCATCACCGATCTAAGTCTGTCCATCATTTGTCTGTCAGTCTGTTAACTTTTTACAATTTGTTATTTCTCCAGAACCACTGGGCCAATTTCAACTGGGCTTAGCCCTGAGTTTTCTTGGCCAAAAGGGGATCGAATCACGTTTGTTGATATGAAGGGCCTTCCTCCCTTCCCTGGGAAGATAATCAAGAAAAAGCAAAAAATAGATGGGATCATTAAATCTTCTCAATAATCACTAGGCCAGAAAGGAAGAAACTTAGTCAAGTGAAATCTTCCTGACAGAGTAAACTTTGTTCAAATCATCACTGGCCTCTGTGGGTAGGTTGGGGTTGTAAAAAGGGATCGAAGTTTTATATGGGAATATACAATGTATTTAATTTTCTTCTCAAGAACAGATAGGTCATGATTAACCATATCAATATGGAAGCATCCTCAGGTAAAGTAAATGCAGGCTTGTTCAAATAATGGCACTGGGGGGGGGGGGGGGTAGGTTGGGTGCAACAGTAGGGGATCCATGTTTTACATGGGTAAAGGGAAAAAAATTCTTTTCAAGAACAGTGCCATAATTTGCAAGCATCTTTAGATAGTGCAGTTTCAAGTTTGTTTAAATCATGGCCCTTAGGAGTAGGGCAAGGACAGAATAGGGGATAAGGGTTTTACATATTCAGTCTTTTCAAGACAAAGAGGCCCATGGGCCTAGAATTGGGTCATTATTTGACAAAATGTAAATCTACACTATCTGAGGATGCTTCTTTATAAATATGACTACTCATGACTTTTCTGTTCCTGGGAAAAAGATTTCTCCTATGCAATCCTCTAGAAAACTTTGAACCCCATTGTAGCCCACCCTACCCCTAGGTGCAAACTTGAATCTACACAATCTGAAGATGCTTCCATATAAATATGATTAATCATGGCTTTTCTATTCATGAGAAGAAGATTTTTAAATATTTTTCATACTTATACCCATGTAAAACTTTGATTGCCCATAGTGGCCCCACCCAACCCCAGGGGTAATGATTTTAACAAATTTGAATATACACTATCTGAGGATGCTTCTGTATAAATATGATTAATCATGGCTTCGCTGCTCTTGAGAAGATAATTTTGTAAGATTTTCCCTATATATACCCATGTTAAACTGATTGCCTGTTGTAGTCCCATCCTACCCCCAGGGGTCATGATTTAAACAAACTTGAATCTACATTGCTTGAAGATGCTTCCATAAAAATATGATTAATCATGGCTTTACTGTTCTTGAGAAGAAGAGTTTTACAGATTTTTCCTATTTATACTCATGTAAAAATTTCATCACACATATTGGGCCCACCTTTCCCCCAAGGGTCAATGATTTGAACGAACTTGAATCTACACTACTTATGTATGCTTTGATCAGTATAAATATGACTGATAATGGATTTGCTGTTCTTGAGAAGATTTTTAAAGAGTCCTATATATACCTATGTAAAACTTTGATCACCCATAGTGGCCCTACCTACCCACAGGGGTCATAATTTGAACAAACTTGAATTTACATTTTGTCAGGAAATTTTACATGTTTTACCTTTTCTTGCCCAGTGGTTCTTAAGAAGATTTTTAAATGACCTCATCCAATTTTTACTTTTTCTTAACTATACCCCCCTTGGAACAGGGTGTGGCCCTTCATTTGAACAAATTTAAATTTCTTTTAACCAAGGATTACTCTGTGCCAAGTTTGGTTGACATTGGCCCCTTGGTTCTCGAAAAAAAGATGAAATTGTAAAGATTACGACGATGATGACAATGAGTCGATAGACAATTGACAAATTTGATCAGAAAAGGTCACTTGAGCACTCGGCTAAGGTGAGCTAAAAACAGGGTCATCAAATAAATCATATTATGCAATTATCCCAAATAGTGTACATTCAAATTCATCTTCAAACCATGGCACTTGGATTTAGGCCACAATAAGGGACCAGATAATGACTCCAAGGAGTGCATCATATTTAAAGGACATACGCAACTTTATTGTCTTTTCTCCTGGAGTTGAAGAGTTCCAATACTTAAAGGAACTGTGTGTTACATTTTATGGTCTATATATGCTGCTGTACGCTTCTTCTAAACAAGTTTGGATAAACAAAACATCTAGAATATATGTTTAGTAATTTTTGTATATTTTTCTTTGAATTATACAAGAATTTTCATCAAATGATATCTTTTCAAAACCCCTGGTAAAGCATGCTGATTTTTTGTCTGTGAACATCTGATGGCACTATTATCTTAAATTAAGAATATCTTGAAAAATTATCAGTAGGTAAGGTACGTTGCATATGACCTTAAAATTCAAGTAAAGTGCAGATTACCATGGGGATATAGAAGAAAAAAATCTTTTAAATACCATCATTTGAAGGACAGCAGGGCCAAGATGACTTAGGTGACTGTGAGCATTGTGGGTCTTGAGTTTACCACTGTTTGGTTGAAAAATTTATGGTGCAAGATTGTACATGTCTGATGTTACCCAAAAAAAATTATTTGGTTCAAATCAAAAGTTAGTGGCAGTTACATACTTATTTGAAATACAATGATCCTCTTCACAGCCTGTCTACATCTTTTTTAGCCATTAAGCTCACTCCCAACAATTCTAACATTATGATAGATATTTATTATGAAAATTACCCCATATTAACTATCTTGAATCAAAACCAGTTTCCCAAGTCTATAACCCTCTGAATCAAATTCTGAAGGCTCTATCCATGTAGTACCATTAATGCCAATTCAAAACTAAATAAGTAACACAATCAAGCATATAATCCTTTGATATATTTTACTTCATTCAAGAGGCTGCAAAGCAGCAAAAACATAACATGATAAAATGAAATCCATACAAATTGTTGTATGCTGGTACAAGTTTATATGATGATAAAATATCAATGTATATAAATAATTTGTACTGACTAGATTGGAAAGAGACATAGTGGTAACATTGTCAAAATGTTTCATGCACTTTTTTCAAAATGTAAAACATCTGACATACATGTACAATGAAATAATGACCAATCAAGTTTATGTCTGAAATGACCAATCAGGTCACATTTATAAATGAAGTGACCAGTCAAGCTGCAAGTTTATAAGCATTCACAGAATGCATGGAATTATATATGTATTTTTCTGATACATATAGAATTTTTATTGTAGAAGGTATTGCAGCTAGGGGACAGATTGATTTTGCCACAAATGTTCAATCATGCAGTAAAAATGCATTTAGCAACCTTAAATTGTTTTGACTTAAAACCCAAGCATTATAACCATTGTTTTTTGGAACAAGTCATTATGAACTGGTAATAATTAATGGACAGAAAAGTGCTTTAATGCACATTGAATTTAGACAATTTTGAAGAATTATCCAGTTTAGTACCCATATCTGGAAATCAATCTGAATGGCAGTAATAAACTTTAATTAATGAATCTTTAATTCCAGACATTTTTTTTTATAAATATATCTGGTAATTTAGGAAGTGAAAAATATTCTTCACATGTGTTTTCTCTATTTTAAATATTAGTGATTAATCCCTCTTTGTGCTAATTTTATAAGCTTCAATCACATTAAAGTTTCATAATCTTGACTTTTAAATGTGAGAAAATGCAATATGAGTACTCCCTTGAGAAGAAACAAAAATATTTTTTTTAAAAATGAGCAGGAAAAACAATTTCTGACTCATCTGCTATTAATCCCAGTCAAATGTATGGCTTATTAAGGAAAAAAGCTTTTTATTATGGGGTCTAAAGAAGTCATTGAGTTTCTGTAGAACACTGTGTTCAATGTAAGGGTGTTTACGGCCTTTTGTTAACCCTAAGCACTTCTGCTCTGTCTTTGGAGTCCTCATGCAATAGAATCCCCTAGTTGTATTGAAATAAATATTGTTTTCTGTCACTTTTGAAGGAAGTCCTAGAAATCTCTCCACTCTTTTAATCTCACTAAGAGGGTTTGTAATTAATTTATCCCCATCCACAACATGAATTTGCTCTCGTTTAAAGTATTTCAGCCATCTTAAAAGATGATGGTAGTAAATACTAATTTGAATGGCCCTGAAACCCGTATTGACTTCATTTGTCTTTCTGTCAATCACCAGATCTTCGAATTTCTCCATATCCTTTCCTTTGGCTAATTTGTTGTAATATACCTGAGTGTAGTCTGAAATGACTCGAGTTGTTGGGTTTCGGAGTAACACAATTAACTTAATTGAACTGTTCATCCGATGTATTCTCTCTGGTGCTTTCTCCGTGATGAAGTACCTTGGACTTTTTTCTAATGTTATTTGCTCTGGATAGGAATAAGGCATGTGGTCCCTGTACCATTCATATCCTCGATTGTAGTTTGTATCATTATCAAAGAAATGTACCTCCTGATCTGCTGGCTGAATCAAAGGATGAAGGCCCAGAAACTCCAATAATGCCCTGGTACCACACTTTCGAGCACCGATGATCAGACTTTGAGGTAGTCTTTTCTGTTGGCCTGGAAAGTGAATTCTTTCTGTTACCAGATCCTCATCTTCCAGAAGTTTTCGAACACTTCCCACTGTTAAGGATTCCTCCCCTAATTCACTAAGACGACCACCATTCCAAACTTTAACATTAGAGTAGTATGTTAAACATACTGTTACACAAAATATGATGGCAATGGACAGGACTCGCTGACCCTTGCTCTTCATAGTAATTTCCTTTGTCAACACTTAAGATTTACTCATACTTATATCCGAAGGTCTCTTCCATGTCTGCTCTTATTTTTTGGTCTGCTCCATCTGAAAAATACAATTACAATATTAATCATTATTTCCTTATCAAAACTCAACCAGTAATATAAGTGTGGCTGTCTGTCCCCTGGCCATAAAACTGCCACTTTCTCCTTCAAACCCAGCCATTGATCTACAATAAACGGTCCAAAATGGCCACAATAATTTCATTTAAATATAGCTTTGATGAAATTTCCCTTGAAAAATATTATCTGCTGTTGGAAAAGGGTGTAGTTTTATTGCTAGCAATACTGAAAATTCACATACAACTCTCATCTTGATGAAATTCTGGACATATCCAACCTTCAGTAAATACAAATTTTTTCCCTAAGCCCCATAATATATAATGCTTACTTGAATCAATGTGGAAATTAGTACCAGACAAATTTTATAATCTCCATCTTTTATTCCACACAAATGATACATTTTTAATCAAAGCCACAAATGCAACTCTGAAATCTCTATGTTCTCTATGGCAGATCTTAGAGGAAACTTAAACCCTCTCCTTTGAAAAATAAATTAATGTGAATTGGCAAAACAGTTAACATAATGCACCTCCAAAGGACCATACTATACCCTGTAATTCCAAGATTACACTGTTCTTCAGACTGACATTACTAAGAAGAAAAAAATAAATCCTACCATCAATAGATGGCAAAGTTTCTAAATGACATGATGGACGTGACAAAACAGAAAAGAAAGTACTTCATCCTAGCGTCCAGGTGTGAACGTTGTCCAGCGATAAAACAATTTTATTATTAAGTACAGGTAAATCCCAGAATAAGAATAGCGAGAGCTCCGGTCTTACCTGGGCCTGATTAAAATTTCCCCCGATCAGTGCCAGTCCAAAGTAAATCCTATTGTTATATGAAATGTTTTAGTCATTTAATATTTGCTTATAAATTTGAAGCAGTCCCCTAATAAAGTACAGGCAGCTTATATCTCTCTCTGATAAATGTAAACTGTATTTAAATATGGGCTAAAAATGTCTCAATTTATCGATTGTTTGCAATTGGCATTTAGATCTCAGTCAATGGTCACAGGCGATTCTATTGCTAATAATGACCAGTGTGCAACTCGAACCTGATATTAAATCTATGAACAGAAAAACAATAGCATATCTTTCCAAAAATCTAATCAAGATATACTTGTATCTGAATAGATATAAACTACCCAAGCATGTTGGGTTTGCCCTTATAACTTTAGGCCATCTAGTTCATCCAAGACCTGGTTTGATTTTCATATTATTCCATTCAAGTGGATAATGAAACTGCAAAAACTTTTTAAAAAGATTTTAAATGGATGACTTTGCTGTGCATTTCATGGGAAATGCATAAAATTGTCTCATAAATCTTACACCATTCTATTCAAATGAAAAACTAAAAGCTAAATTTACCTGCCATTTGCAGCAATAAAGATCATCTGTCTAGTGGATTGATTTCTCGTAAATGTCTTTATTGGGAACTGATGGAACTTGGTTCAGCACAAAATCACAATACACTATGTCAACCCTATCACAAAAACTTCTGTCTGTCTCTCAATTAGCAAACATCCAATCAAAAAGTCCATGCCAAAGGTCTAAACACTATGCTCTATACCAAACTCACTCAGTAATCAAATATCCAATAAATGTACATTAACGTATTGTCCTCTACATAATGTATTTTTCAAAGCAAATTATATCCCCATTTTACTCTGTTAAATATTATCTCTCATCAACCATTTGTCACTTTCTTTTTTCTGTCCCTCCAAAACAAGCAAAATGCATCCCCAGAACATGAAAAAACAATTTTCCTGATGTGAATATCTGGTAATACTTATGGTAAGACTTTCTTAGACCTTGCTACAAGACCTTTCTTCAACCCCCACTTGCCAATGGAGGGTATACTTCATGAATGAATGACCAGATATGGGTGACTGGTGATAGAGGTTAACAAGTCAGTCATTCTGCTGCACACAGATTCATTTTTCCATGTCAGGTTTGCTTGGATTACTGAAATAACAGCTCCTTTCCAAACCTTGCCAAATCAATACAGTTTTCTATACTGTTTTCACTTCCAACTACTCGGTATTAAAAGAGATCAATTTGTCATCAAACAGTTCCTCATATTTACTTACATACATCAATTGATAAAAGTGTAATTTGTCCAATATTGACCAGTTTGAACCTTTTCTAATAACCATTTGATCAATGTCTTTTCAAAGTGGAATGAATTTTGCTTCAATAGGATTCTATGCATAATTACATGCAGTTTCCAATTAAATGAAGCCTTCTCTTCCTGTATGAAAGGCACTGGAAAAAGTCTGTAACATTTCTATTTCCATGTTAATACAAACTTGGACACAAAATGACTCATTCCTTTTGTGAGGACAATGAAGGGATCATGTACCGGCCATTTACAAAAAAAAAAAACATGGGGATACATGAATACTGTGAGAAAAGCACAAGCTTCAAATTAATACACTATCTAATTTAAGGGCATAATCATGCAGTCAAAATCAATTCAAATGAATTCTATGGAGAAAGTTCAATTTCCGAGAGGTATTTTGTATAATAGCTGGGCGATTGCTTCAAGATAAGTTTAAACAAACCTGAGAAGCAATATCTACTCAATTGCCTCTCATTCTATTAATACAACTTAACTATTGCAAAAATAAAGAAAGGAAAATTCAATGAAACTCTGGACAGAATTATGTCACAAGAGAGTTGAAAAATAATTCCCTGTCACACACAATTTCTGTCCTATACTCCTCACTGACATGCTGAAATTCAATTACCACTAACTTTTTTAACTATGTCGTCTGCCTTAAAAAAAATGTTGACCACACAACATAAACTGAAAGATGAGTGAGAGGCCAAAAGCACAAGAAGAAAATTGAAATCATGGATTTAAGACAGAATGATGGATAGAATGCAGCCAACTTATGGCCTGAGATTGAAAATAGACAGCTGCAGACGCAAGGCAACCACATTTTGCTAAAAAAAAATCTCATATAAATAAATCACCTATAAGAAGTGAAACATCATTTATATTTAATAAACAACATCACCCTTTGCTTATGACGTGTCATTCAGTGTCTGATTTTCAAACTCCAGAAACAAGAATATTTTAACAGTTCTTGGGCTGGGCCTATTCTCTTTAGAGAAGTGGACAGGCTTTCGCCTACATCCAAATGAAATGTCAGTTGAAGTGTAGACCGTCACCGGTTCGAGATTTACAGAATCAAAACATGAAGGCTTGCGAAGAGAAGTGAATGTAGGCGAAAGCCTGTCCACTTCTCTAAAGAGAATAGGGCTGGGTCCTGAAATGATTACAGATATAATGCAAAAGTGATTACAAAATATATAATTTAATCCATTTCATGTCCATAAATATACTTGAGCCCTTGGTAGGGTTTTGCATATACATGTACTGGTACACGTACATTTTAAATTTTAATCGCTCAGTATCAGTTATATCATGGATTGAAAAAGAAGCCTTGTTTTCTTAATTGGCATATACCAGAATATTTCTGATGATAATTTCCTTCAAATACACAACTTTTCAGGAAAAATTATCAACACCAATGCTTAGTAGCACAAGATACATGTAATAGATTTTTCAACAGGAAATTGTCCATATAAAGGATTTAAATTCCCTCTTCACCAAATCCCAATGTCTCCCAGAAGCAATATTCATTAGTGCTAAATTAATCTAAATTCTCTTTATTAATAAATATTGCTCTCTCATTGATCAGAATTCATAGATGACTGATGATAATGAAAAGTTAATAAGAATTTACTTACAGCACAGAAGCTAACATTCAAATGTATCTCATTCCTCACAGAATAGAAACAAGAATTCTCCGTAATTTGCTACATACATCTTCACCACCTCTGTTCCCTGTTTTTCAACAACTGGCTGAATCAGGTTGATAACAACTGGTAAAATAAACATTTAGGAGATCATATTTCTGAAGTTTTTTCCTACCACGGCTTCCGTATATTCTCCTCTTGTGATAAAATCTCTGATAAACTTTAACTCCAATCCTTCTCTCCATTTTATGCACTAGCTCTACTACAAGACATTGTTACTTCCTCTTGCATGTAAAGAAAAGATCTAAGGCACTGTCTATTCCAGTATAAATGGAGTTTATTTTTAATAATAAAGCATGTTTAATTTCTTATAACCAATATATTTCTCTGATGTCATATCGTGAGAAAGTCAACTTTTTCTGCTTTTCATTGAGCCAATTAAATTTACTGGAGGAACCCTCTGTTTACAAAGGGTTGGCAATACCTAAATGGTGTAAATGAAAATTAAACACAGGCCAATTTTACCAGGTGCCATCTCATCAAAAGTATGACAAAAAATTCAAACAAAACATACATCAAACCATACCAACCAATTCTACAAAAATATCAACTAATTAACTTATAACTGCCAAAAGGCAAAAAATACACCCCACAATAAAAAAATATACAAAATGTTTATTGTGCCGAGTCATGAACCAGAGATACATTAAAAGAAAAATGTTAAGAAGTATATAACTCAGTAAAGCATAATCAGAGGTTATAAACTTACTCTATCAGTCAAAAAAATCTAAAGAGAAAAAAGGTTGCCGATCCCTGACCGAAAAATTCAAATCAGATTTTTAGTGGCATTTGCAATAAATCATGTTGAAAATAAAAAATTCTTGGGGCCTTTTTCAGGATTTAGAAACAAATGAAAGATAAAACCTTATAACAAAGCAGTTGCCTCTTTCCTCATCTCTGAATCAAGTAGGCAAAAATACAGCCATTAGGGAGTCAAACCATCCATGAAATGTGAATGTGTAACAAAGCTTTCAGGGAGCATACCTTTACAAAACATGTATAATACAACAATATGACCGACACAAAGGCCACAAAATTAATGAAAGTTTTCTTGCATGGATTCATAAATGTTTACAAAAAGAATGATGGCAGATGGAAAAGCTTTGTGAATATTTCAAATTTCACTGCCTGCCTTAAGCACATCATTACAGCATTAAAAAAAAAGCTTTTCCCAGACTCTGGACAGATATGATTTAAAACTCACCAGACATTCACTAAAACATCTTCCATCTTCATGAGAAAAAAAAAAATCCTCTAGCCATTTCACACCATTACAAAGATGCTGAAGTGAACATTTCCTTTCTTTCCAACAGTCAGGAGACCGAGTGCTGTTTTGATAGCGGACAAACTATCTACAAATTGGATACACATGCGCCTCATACACCCAGCACTGAGCTCTCCCTCCTCTAGTGTCGTAAATTAACCAGCCCAAAGTTTCTCAAAATCATTGTAACATCAGTTGAATGTCAGAAGTGACCCTTATTTTCCAGCTGTTTTTATTAAAATTCATTATTTTCTTGCCGTTTGTTGCTATGACACATTGCTAGCTTGCATGTCAAGAAAACATCCTAGAGCCGACTTTATAAAATACGAAGACTTCATTAGCGAATCTGTACGTCTTATATTACCGACTTATCGCATTGATGAGCTTTGCTTTTTACTTTCATAAATCATAAATGTAGCTTATTTCATGTGTACCTTGTGTTGAAGACAAGAAAATTTCTGACATGCAAGGAAATCTGACTTGTTAAGAAAAACAAGATCATTAAACTGAATATTTATCTTGATAACAGAAACATTCAAAGCCTTATGGACCAATAGTAAACCTATTTTTGTCACAAATAAAAGTGCATGATAATTATTAAGAAACACCAAAATTCCTCTTTTGCAAAGGCAATGACAATGAATGACTACTCAGATGTCTTTAATTGTTTTAAGGATATCAATTGGCCTGTGATTCCAACATTTATCACAGTTAAAACGGCAAGAAAAGAAATGTTACCAGAACTGATCAATTTTACATTTAACTTGGTGTTCTCGTGTTGGGACAGCAGATAATTCAGAGACAATCTAGGAAAAGCAGGACAGATCAAATCCTGCATTTCATAAATCAAAGACACAAAACACTTAAAAAAAAAATCTGGTACTTTAGACTGCTCTAAGTATATTACAAATATCCCAGAATAAAATCACTTTGTCATAAATTGAAGTCCCTAAACTTCAGAGGTATTACAGATACTGCACATCTGAAATAACATACTGGATAAATATTTTGACTTTGAGTCTTACCTCTGATCATCTGTCTTGTAAAAATGGTATCATATGTCACATTACTACTTCAATGTACAGGTTGAAATCAGTACAGCCTGGGAATTTAAAATATTCGCTAAGGACATCAATCAGAAATAAATGCAGAGTCAATCTCCTGATCAACTCAACCACAGCCAAATTGTTCTTTTGATATGACAAAAAAAGTCAATGGTGCAATTATTGTTTCCATCGCACACATGCTTTTGATAAGCATTAATATATACACATGTATCACATTTGGAGTGTATCTTACAAAACTGATATGTTCCTGAGGAATTATATAACCTTTTTATCATAATATTCAAATATCTCCCAATCTTCCAAAATAAAGCCCTCTTAACTCCTTTCATGAGAAACACCGGGAAATCAATCTACATTAAATATAGAACCTGGGCTGTTCACTTAATTTACAAAAGTACAGACCATGAGGAAAGGTTAATGAATTCAAAGTCAATTTTACTACTTATAACAAACTGAAGATGTATGTTAAATACTAGCTAAAGAAATAACACACAATTATGTACACTGACTACGAAAACCGGTGTTTTTTTCTTCTGAATGTCATAAGTACTTTCTTCTAAGCACATTGGCCGAAATAAAACAAATGAGCAATTCTACTTATTCAAAGAAGGTGCAATATTTCAAATAAAACTATGGCCTTTATGAAATAATAATTAAAAAAAAATTTTACCTGAGAAAAATACTCCGACATGACATCCATTCACAACATTTGCTATGGACAAAAACGTAAACAGAATATATGGACATAAAATATATCCTCCCTCACACATACATTAGGTCTCTGTCTTTGTGCTCCAGTGGGTCTTTATCCCTAGTATACCAGGTAACCCTGTTTGCCTTTAATTTTTTTATTTTTCAATCTGGTGTCAGCTGCTTTTACAATTTGGTCATCCACTCACCTAACAACAATTCATCCACCTCGTGTTTTTTTACGACATTTTCTGCACAACTATCGGCTGCCACTATGTCCTGCGTTAGCACACCTTTTTGATCAAAGAGCTTGAACCCCAATGCATATGAAAAGAGACAGTTGACAGTAATGAATAGGACCAGGTTAATAAAGCCTTGTGTTGTATCACATAGAAATCAAATTAAGAGAGATTTATTTAATGATTTTTTCATGCATCATAGAATCTCATAGCTTTCTATGAGGTGATCATAAAAATCTTTGTATGGTTATAAAAACAATTTGGATCAAAGCAAGTTATAGATGAGAAATCTGCCCTCCAGGTCAGTGATAAAATTTTGATGGACACTGGTCAAGGGTCAAGATGACCCCCCTGGGTAATGTGACAAAAGAGTCTGGTGAGAAACTGGGTAGATTACACTCCAGATAAAACAGGTGATAAGGCAATGTGTTTGTTGTTAGCACAAGAATTGTCACCTCTAGAGCTGATTAATTCTGTTACACATGTCTATACAAAAGATTATCCATGTAGATGATGATAGTGCATGTATAACTTATCTTTCCTTGTAAGGATGTCAACCATGTTTTTGTTTTTGGTTTTTTTTCCTTCTTCACCCAACATTTATATGCTATATACTACCACTTTCACAGATCAATATATTATGGGCAGCTGAAGAAGTTTAAATTCAAAAGATAAGTTCATTAAAAAATCATTTAAAATTGTTCATATGATAATTAAAATAATCTATTAACTATACATTGCTAACATCTAAAACTTATTTGAAATTCCATTCATAAATCAAAATAACCATAGATTCTATTAAATATTTTCTCTCATCATGGTATAAATAATGTTATATGTCTTTAAATTACAATTAATATATCCCAGTGATTTCTTTATACATAATAATCTAGATAACAATCAAAATATTAAAAACACTTCAAAGTGCACATTGTCGTGGGTGGCCTTATTCATATACTATCTTATATCAGAAATCAACTTTACCTTTTTTTTAATGTAAAATATTTTCTGTGAGAATTTACCTAAATAAAGCCCCCAAAAAATCACATAAACAAGAGGGATTGACAAGGAAGGCATTCATTATAGAAATTTATGATGAACTGATGAGAAGATGGACACCTGATAAGACCAGACTCAAACCCCCCTTGAACAATTCCTCTCTATCCAATAACCTGCCAAAATACCTCCTGTCCATGTTATTACAGGTCTTCCATTTTCATGGCAAGAAAGGAAAATTTATCAGTATTCTTCATCTCACAGGTAACCATACATTGTCATTAATTACCGACCTGTGAAATGGCATTGTTTGCACCAAAGTATCAATTACCCAGAATACACCAGTCTTGGTAAGGCTAGCAGAAGATAAGTGATCAGGTGACCAAATTCTCTCCTCCCATAGGTCCAGACCTTTTCTCCATCATCTAATGACAATCTGGGGTTCTGTTTCATGTCAAGATCCAAGAGATATCATTTTATACTGTACTGAGAAGGTTTATTTCACTTAAACACATGCAATTTAGGAAAATGGAATTATCCACCATTATCCTCAAGAAATTGATTCATCAAGCTTAAACTCATAAGGGCAATACTTTTGAAGTGGCAGTTAGATAGTCATATCTTTCAAAATTTACATCAGAGTATCTATTTAAGTGAACACCCATGCAGTGGGTAATAAATGACCATGATCATTTCCAACATGGAAATATAGCTTAGGACAAAACTCATGGCTGCTTAAATCAATAAACTAAAGAAATGAAAAACACATGCAAATCATTTCCATACCATGATACAAGTCAAAGAATGGAACATGCAAGCAAGACCACTAGCCATTTGATCAATGCTAAGTGATCACGCCAATCTAAACAAACATCCACTTAGCAATTAGCCAAGAAGTAACAGACAATATTAAAGCTGTGTATTACAAAAACATGATTTCCATATTGATAGCTAATATTCCTGCAGATTTGAGAGTCCTTAGAACAGAAAATTATTTGTAAATAGAGCAAAGAAATTATGATTGTCCACCTACTAACACCAACAATTATTACCTCCATAAAAGAAAGATGACAACTAATGTTATTCAAATAATTAAACAGACTGTAATTCAAATATTGGGGCTCCATTTTGATGTAATGCATTGTATTCCTTGTGAAATACTTAGTTACTCTAAAACATCTGTGTTTGCTAAGCATGAGTTAAACAAAGACATTGCATAAAGCTACAGTATTGCTAGTACATGCAAGAAAATATTGATGGTAAATAGAACTAGTGACAAATTAACTGGAACCCCTCCTCCTCCATTCTATACATTGTATTCTACATAGTATATATTTTTAGCTGGATGCAATTTTTAATTGGAATTCAAGATTATTACTAATGATAAGAGCTTTGCCATTGGAGGAACATGATTCAGTTTTTGAACTGCACTTGATGAATATTGTGCATGTATTGATTGTAGAATCAACAGAACTGTAGCATACATCCTGATACGGTTCCTGAAATTTGAGAAACCATCAACCATCAAAGTAGAAGATAAAGCAAAAATAAGGCAGCTAATACCACACAGATTACACCATTCAATCTCCAATGGCAGCATTTACTGCAGATCAACCTCTAGCTAATCATTGTAAATTTGCTAAAAGGTACCCTGGCCCCTAAATTGGCATCACTGTTTGATATTGGTGCATTTTGACACGACATATTAAGAAATATAGAGTTTACCAAGTTCAATATCTGTTTATAAAGATAGAAACCCATATCAACTTGATTTAACAAATTGATATCCTCCGTCACTCAGTTATTGACATATTGAGGAGAACACCATAAAATCATTACTGAACAGAGCAGTTTAGTATTTACATTTCATATATTTTGAATTCTTTCACCCAAAATGCCATTTATCAATTTGCCAAAATCTACAGAATCTTCCAAATAAGTAAAAGTAGGAGTATATACAGCTGTACATCTAACATTTAATAACTGTATATTTATTTTGTAATGTTTCACATTTCTAACAATAAAGGAAATAGAATTCCACATTGAATCCTTGAAGTTATATATGCAGACAATTGCCTGATTTTATTAGTGTAGACTACTTATTATACTATTGTATTAAGGTATG